TTCTATTATTGTATGTATTGTATTATACTATAAATTATTCTATTGATTTTATTTGATCAATCAAGAACCAAATAGAAATATGATCAAAATTCTTTACAGTTTCGAGTTATTGCGATATCGTCAGGTTTTTTTATACGATTTAGAATTTTTGTTTTGAATGCTTCTTTTTGCTCGATTCCTTGTAAGCCTTTTTCATGTTGGGTTTATCTAGGTGAACAGTTCTTATCGTTGGAGGATGCAATGTCGTCCACATAAGACCCTTTAAAACATTCTGACATCAAACATTTAGCTGAAAATTCCTAACGGTTTTTCAAATACGGCTGAAGCTAAGACGATCTATGCCTAATGGTAGTCAAAACATTAATGTTTCTCGAATATTTAAATATTCGATAAAATGTACATTTACAGAAAATGACCATCTTTATATTTCACGTCAACATAAAACTCCTGACTACTGGTATGGCAAAATAATCGGTGACGAAGTATTCATCAGCTTTGAAAGCAGTTGCAGAAAGAGTGTGCGATAACAATATCCGGTGCAATGCTTAGCGTGAATTCTTTCATAACTGAAATACAAAAAAAATATCAAAGAAGCATTTTGATTTTGTTTCAAAATTATTAATAACGAAAAGACGATAATCCTAAATTTTAAGATACAATGTTAACATAATATCTTTTAAGTACTATTTTTTTTTAAATTTTGTTTCAATTTTATTCGAAATTGTTGTCTAAGTATTTTAAAATATTATTGAAAATGTGTTAATAAAAGGACAGCAGCTGTCACAAAACCCTAGTCTAACATATAATTTCCCTATGGTTTGTCCAATTAGTGTTTATTTTTACGTTTTATAGATAAAATTGTAACGATTTCAATATATTCATAAATACAACGAGGGGTGGTGTTCTCGAAGCTATCTTAGGATTAGGACATGTCCTAAGACCATCTTATGAAACGTCTTTGTCCTAAGTCGTGTTCGTAAAGCTCTCTTAACTTAGAATATATTGCATTTTTCGTCCTAACTTTAGGACACCTAATTAGGTGTCTTAAGATCAGCCTATCTTCATCCTTACTTAATAAAGTTTGGATTTCGCTTTTTGCTCATTATTTTACGTGAAGATGAACATGAAATGAAACGCACCATCGGTTATTAACTCGTGTATAAAGAAATTGTGCATGATTTTAATTCTTGAATTTCATGTTTCACGATACGATGACACTGCAAATTGAATTCTCACTTCAAAACAAATTGTTTTCCAGTTTAAATTACAATTCTTTTTAATATAATTTCATAATTACATTTGAAATCATGCATTTAATTATATACATGTACTTATAAAATTCGTATACTCATATTAATTGGTTTCGTCATTAATAAATTTTTTATCAAAAAATTACTTTAACGATTTAAAATTTCGCACTTGATATGTTTAGGACGTCCTAACATAAGATGCGTCTGAGATAGCTTCGAGACACAACTTAAGAGTGTTTAAAGCTGATCCTGAGTCCAACCTAAAATTGGTCTTAGGATGTGTCATAGAAGGAATCTTAGGATAGTTTCGAGAACACCACCCCAGATTTATCAAAATGCAATTGTATCAAAAAGCAGAGCTTCTATTTGATTAGAAATTTTAGTAATGCAGAAGGTAGCGTAGGGATATCATCATTGCTTTTGGCAAAAAATAAAACAATACAAAAAAAAAAAAACACACACAAAAAGACACAAAGCTTCCTACCTCATCTAAGTCTTTGAGGATTTGTCAACCTTTTAGAAATATTTTATTAGAAAATTCCTCAACAAGTTTCTCATAGGTAGTAAGACCACTAGATATATATATATGTATATCATGTAAACATTTTCATACATATATGCGGTACATTTATTCATTTCATTTTATTTAATTAATGAAGACTAAATCATCATTACTATCAGTGGAATCCATTGCAACGTAACGTCTGTGACAAACATTCCTGTACCTACTTGCTTGAATATAATGTTTTAATGTATATGTTTATCTGAGCGTCACTGGTTAGTCTTGTGTGGACGAGACGCACGTCTGGCGTATTGAATTTTAAGCCTAGTACCTTCTGCTAGCTATTATTCGTGTGTTTCTTTGTCCTATATGTTCTCCTATTTATTTGTATTGTGGTCCTGTCATGTGATGTTGTCGTTTTGGTGTTGTATTTGACGTTGCCATAAAAGCGGGAGGTTTGGCATGCCACAAAACCAGGTTTAACCCACCATTTTTTTTTCTTAAAATGTCCTGTACCAAGTCAGGAAAATGGCCATTGTTATATTATAGTTCGTTTCTGTGTGTGTTACATTTTAATGTTGTGTTTTTGTTGTGTCGTTGTTCTCCTCTTATGTTTGATGCGTTTCCCTCGGTTTTGGTTTGTAACCCAGATTTGTTTTTATCTCTATCGATTTATGAATTTCGAACAGCGGTATACTACTGTTGCCTTTATTTGTGTACAAGATGTAAGTTTGTACAAAATATAATTTGTACAGGGTTTTTGTACAAGTTATAAGTTTTTTGACAAAAACCGTTTTGCACCAGGTGATAAAAGTTTATCTCCTAAAATGTATCAGTTTACTGTCTTTAATTCAAATTCTCCTTATACCAAAATCATATCCATAAAAAATCTTGTTGTGTTCTTATAATATTTTTTTGTATCAATGTTCAGTATTAAACTGTCTCATGTAGTGATGGAAATATGAGAAAAATATACGAATCAAAAGACTGTGTGCTTGCATCATCCATTTGTGTTAAACACTGATAACTTTTACAAAAAATCTGTACAAATTATAATTTGTACAGCATTACAATTTGTACACAACACATATATATTCATATGATGGCATTAGCACAAAAAAGCACTGCATGTATAGCACGAGTCGTTTTTAATTTTGTACATCACATGAGTTATATTCATAAGATTTATATCGCCGTACAATATTATTTAATTATATTATATTAATGAACTGAAATATATTTGACAACTGACATTTTTTTTAACAAGAACTAGGGATTTTTATTACTTAGAAATTGACAATGACGGTGGTTTGAGACCAATACTTTACGACCAAATAGAGTATTACAGCTTTCCAGTTATGAACTTCAAATTGTTTTTTGCAATATCCCAGCATCGGATAAGTATGTAGAGTATTTCTCCCCTCATGCATTTTTCGATAGAAGGTTGCTCCTTACAGGAGGTTATAAAACCAAGGGTCTAATTGGCAAAGTGAGGTTATCCCTTCGAAAAATTAACAGATGCCTTAGATGCTTTGGTTAACCGTTATAAATTATAATTGTCATAGATGAAGGAACACGGATTTGTTTCAATTGTCTTAACCACAATAACCGTCATTATTTTTTCGATTTTGAAACCACTAATGAGTAATCATTAATAACTACAGAACAGTCGCTACTGTGACTGAGATCAACCTCGCTGTTTGATGAAGTTTGTGCTTCTCAGTGGTTTGTTTTCTATGTAGTGTATTGGATACTATTTTTAGGCTTTTCGTCGTTTTCACTGTTATGCAATGGTTTTGTCGGTTTCTCCGTGACTTGTGAATTTGGATTGTTCATTTGGTCTCACGAGACTTTTTTAAAGCGAATTCACAATGTGTCAAGTGCTCTTTTTAAAAACAAAAGAAAACAAGTTTATATTCCTAACCGTAAACTCTGAGGAATTCTGAAGAACATGGAATAAGAATACTTTATTTTTGGGTAATTTTCATTTTAATATCAACTTTGTTGTTCAGAATTAAAAGTAAAAATCGTTATACAATGTAACAAATTTCCTCTATTACTATTTACACAATTATATGTGTAGTTTGCAGTATATAAATATATCATGTTGAAATTTTCATGCATCTTCTTCATTACATTTTCATCTTATGAAATTTGCATGAATTCTTCTATTTGGTTTTCATGTTTATATCAAAATTATGTTGATATTAAAATAGTTGAATCGCTGAAACGATGCAACCTTAATTAGTGTGAGACTTAACGTAGTCAATAAAGACAAATAAAAAATAGAAGGTTCCAAGTCAATTACACTGTTCAAGGTGTAAAGCACATATTGATACTTTAATGAAACTTGTTTCACCTCAATATTCCAGCTCAAAGTGAGGATCAAAGTTCAAATGCTGCAGTGATCGGAGGAACTATCGGCGGTTGTGAGTACCTTTAAAAATAGAGGATAAAACACCGCGGGTCTTACAACGAGCAGAGGAACAAATAAGTTTCGTTGTTAAATTTGCAAAGTGCTTTGTTCTACTTTTATATTCAAATTAAAATATTTTACTTGAATATTGGAATAAGTTTATCATGGACATATAGGAAATTATCATTTAGACAAATAAATAAATTTAAACCATAAGTATCAACCATACGAAGAGGGGAGATTAATCGGGCTTTTTCAACCGCTTCATAGTGTCTGTACCATACCGATTTGCAAATGATAATGGAATAATCATTTTTAGATTACAGTTTTGTTCATTATAACTTATTTCAGTACTGTTTCTCCTGTTAGTAATAGTCATTATAATAGTAGTATTATGGAGAACTGGACGAATTTGTGAACCACGCAAAGAGCAGCAAGGGAACGATAAAGCATATGCATATTCGTTTGGTTTGCCAGACAAAAATCAAGTTAATAAAGTGACAGAATACAATGTAAGTGTTTATACTGAGAATTTAACCTTGATATAACTTAATTCAGCATAAATCAAATTGGTATCTTGGACATGGATTTTATCTGTCTAAATGTTAATGAATGTGCCGGTTCTTATAGAATAAATATTGAGTAAAAGTATATTTACATATTTTCCACAGTTTGTCGTTTAAAGAAGTAAGGAAATACACATTTTCGAAATGTAAGCAAATCTGTTTATTTCTATCATATTTGTAAGCTTCACGTTTATGTCTATATAGATGTGTATATTAGATAAATGCTGATACAATATATTTATGAATATATTTGTGTTATTTAACAGAATAAAACGTATACGACTGATGATGGAATGGAAGATATTTACCTGTATGGGGGAATGAAAATTAATAACCCTACATGGCTTATACAACACACAAAAATAGTCCTTGAAGATAAAATAAACAGCGGTAGATTTGCTGATATCTTCAAAGCCAGATATGACACAAAACAGAATGACATGACAACTGTTGTGGCCAAAACATTACAAGGTAACTGCAGAAACAGACTCTTTTCGTGCTCAAAGATACAGAGAGAATTTACAAAGGATGCAATAAAAAATCATATAATTTCAATAAAAACAGATAAAACCATGGTCAATAAAAGAAAACCGACGAAAAGACAATGCTAACGAAACAAAACAAGTAAATTTAAAGATTGAGCAACACAAACCACACGACAAACAGGGGTGAACCTTTGTGCTGCAGAAGGGTAACACTTCATGCTCAAATGAGGAATATCGTAAATTTCTTTATGAGTTTTTGAACAGCGGTATACTACTGTTGCCTTTATCTTCGTGATACACAGGAGGGAAAAGGTGTTATTTTAATGAATATTATAATTACAATGAATTCATAAAAACACAAAGTTGTCATAAAGTTTAATTCGTTTATCTTTTTAAAAATAATGTTTTGTTTACCTTTCACACAACAGTTATACTAATTTGTATATAAACCGTACACATTTTAACAAGAATTTACAGTATAAATCATATTTTGCAAATTTTTGATATTCCTGATTAACAAAAAGAATGCTGCACACATTTGTAAAATCAACAAAAGCTATACAAATTCTATTTCTACATAAATTTTTATCATATAAAGGGTACACTAAATGTTATAGGGATTCACTTTAGATCATGCAAAGCAAAAATATCCGAACAAAAATAAATTAAACCAGCTCCATCGTCATTTTAGTGTTAATACATATATATAAACATTAAAGAGCTCATCAAAACCCTTCACCTAACTTGTTTATCCATACTTTTAAATGAGAAACTAGAAAACTTTTTTAAACCTTTCATCCAATCAATAAAAATATAAATGTTTACCCTTTCTATATGACTTAGCTATAATGCGTTCAGAGCAAGGTTCGTTTTTTTACTAATACGGAGTCATCATAAAACTAACAAAGCTAATGAAATGTTACTTCCACCAGTACTTCGTATCATTGAAAGTTCATTTAGATTTTTCTAATTGATTTGGCTTTTTAACTGTTCTGATATTGCCAATGGTGAATCTTATATAGTTAAAACGCGCGTCTGATTTACTAAATTACTAGCCTGGTATATTAGCTTAGTTTGTAGATCAAAGTAAAATAACAAAAAAACCGAACTCCGAGGAAAATTCTAAACGGAAAATCCCTAAGCAAATGGCAAACTCAAAAGCTCAAACACATCAAACGAATGGACAACAGTCATATTTCTGACTTGGTAAGGCATTTTCTGACTCTTCGGTTGGATAACGTTTCGTCACCTACCTAGACATGTACTATCATTTGTGCAGTTATTTATTTTACTTTTTATATTGATATTTAAATCGTTTGAAATGTCATGGTTTTTCTGCGCCTATCATAGATTTGGCTTAACCTTTTGGAAATATTTTTTTCAATGCTCGTTAACATTGCTATTTATTTAGTCATCCATCTGTTTTGATTCGGGCGTCACTGATGAGTCTCAAATAAACGAAACGTGCGTATGACGTACTAAAACTTTAGCCTGATATCTTTGATTAGTTTTTACAGATAAACAAATTCGAATTTGATGGATCATAACCGTGGTTTATTTTTCTTTTGTCTAATTTTGATAAAATAAGTCTAATCTAATGACGAATAATTATAAAAAAAAAGTTTTACATGACAGAAATTTTTCACCATTCTTAAAAAATTTAAAGTCTTTGATTTGTAATAATAAGAAAATATATATCTCATCTCTCTCTGTTGAAATTTTGTATTGTCATTTTCACTGATGCGACAACAGATAAAAACATCAATCAGAAATTCAACTGATATGGTTCATATTTTGCTCTAACCTTTCCGTTTCAAACCAAAAGGATTTAAGTTTTCACGTCTAAACTTTTGTTGAATATCGTATGCAATAAAGAGTTTTCCAGAAACACGTATTGTACATAAGGAAATCATAATAATATGGTAAAAGCACGCATTAAGGTAAAATTTAAAAAGTAATTTATTCTTTAATTTTTAATAATCAATGTATGAATAACGACATTATTCGGGTAGATTTTGTAAGTTTCAACACTTCTGTAGCTTTAACATATGTTTAGATAATGATGAAAAACAAATTTGCTAAAAGCAGAAAATATTGATTTACAAAACAACTTTCTGTAGTCGTTGTCCCGATGTTACTGATAAAGCCAGCGGTCTAAAAGCATGGGTAGGAAGCAACCATCCCGTGAAACAGAATTTATGAATTTATCCTTAATTGTTTTCGCAAAATTCTTTAATATCGACTTTCATATATTCAAATAATTACTGATTTACTATTTTGATCTGAAACAATTTGACTTATAGGTAGTAAAAATTGAGACTCACTCAAATTAAATAAAATACGAAATGCTTAATGAGTTCAAACTGAATAACTCAATTTTGTATTCTTCAGGATGTTCGCTACTATGTTTCAAAATAACAAGCTTTATAAAACGTTACTAAAAAAGCAGAAAAAAATGCAAGGTCCGTGTGCTTGTTTTTGAGATATAACCCATTGAAAATTGGGCGGGGAATGATTCTCTCTAGATTTTTTCTACATTTAACATTGACACCTTTTTTCTTTTAAAAACTATGAAAATAACAAGGATTTTAATAGATTTTTCAAAAATGGCTTTTTTTTAACTATATGTTATAAAGCGAAAGAAAAGAAAAGTTGGGGTCAGCGGACAAAACATGTAATGGCACTACATAGACAAAACCAGATGATTCCAAATATTTGACAAAAAGTCAAAAACAAGACAAGCGAACATCCTTAAAAGAATAGAAAATCATTCAAATCTACACGTATTTTTTTTAAGCAAACTACAATGACGACAATAATCTGGTAATGATGGCGAAAATTAACTTCTTTGCAACAAAAGTTGGAAAACATCGCAACGTTCTTGGATTCATTGGAGCTGTTACTGATAACACTCATCGTAAGTCGCATTTCAACAAATTACAATATACAACATTATGTTCCTATAAGTACAAATGTCAAATTAAAAGAACAAAATATAGAGAAACGCAGAATGCAACAAACAATCGTTATGTATTTGACAGTCTGTACTTAACAGCTTCTTCGTTTGTATTAGGTGTGGATTTTCAAATATCTCTACATCGAGCATCACTGAAGAGGCAACCGGATGTAATAATAAAATTTGTAGAGTGACTGTTATTTCTTCTCCTAAACCATAAAATATCAGAAACTTTAGTGTATAACTCATTTTTTATGTGTACCTCTAAGATAGTTTTTGTTATCTTTGGCAAAATTCTACAAAATTGGGACAGGGTTTAGAATGGCACATGGGGTATTGATATTTGAGTTGTTCTGTATTTATTTGTCGATCTGAATGATTTATAAGATTTTTTATGGAAAAATTTGTCCCTCTTCGATTTAACAGAATAAAAAAAAATTCCCAGTAAATTCTCTTATTTCTATTTATAATCAATTCATTTTTTATATGATGAACTCTAGAAAAATATAGCAAGTTCATATATTTTTTTCTGGATTATTATTACTTTTCTTATCTAATTTCTTCGTGTAAAAACTGTTGGAACCTTGTTGTTTTGAAACTCACTATCGAGTTTCCCTCACACTGACATCAGTTGAGTCGTTAGTCCAGGTAGAGATAGACAGAATATAAGATTAAAACAATTAAAATCCTTGAAGCCCTAAACGAAATAGGACCATGTACCTCGATGGGGGAAGCTAGCATAAACGTGTTATACGAATCCATATCCATATTAGTATTTATGAATTCTTAGATTTTAAAATATAATTACTCTGTTATTTTTTCTTCTAAAATTGTCTTTTATTGAGCAATTGTTTAAATTGATCACACGAGATTTGACATACTAATTAATTTTAGCCTTTTTGTTGCTATTGTTATTGATAACATTGTCTATTAGTTTTCTAGAGTAATACCATTTTATTTATAGTGTGTATGCATAAAAAATAAATGCATTTGATCCCGGTGTAAATGAACCATTCTATTTAAAACATGTCAATTTCATTTTTACATGCGAGTTGTCATTACAATATCAAAAATGGTCTTTACGTCATACATCGTCATGCATCTATTTAAGGTTGTTACACATGTTGTGCGCACTCAAATCGTATCATACGTTTTTACATTATTCAATATTCGAGTGATTTACTGGCGCGGTGCAATGAAATTGACACTTGAACAAGTGTTTATTTTCAAACAGGGATTTAGTGCACGTACTCACACTGCATTAATGTCTCTAACTAAAATAGAATAACAAAGGACACCTGTATTTTAAACTACCATCACGCTGCCAAACTTGATTTCTTTAAAAAAAAAAAAAAACGTACACTTTCTTGATTGTTGAACTTTATATAGATTTTCTTATACTTTTAAATGCATTCCATTGCTTGATTCTGTCTCTTGAAATTTAGCGTGCACTTTATTTCACTATTTAGAAGGTTGCGAACATTAATCAAAACAATATTTTATGCATTTCATGTAAAACCATAAGAATACGTTCGTGTACTATCCAATACCACAAAAGTTTTGTGTATGTTAATTTTTGTACTTCACAGTTGGACCTTATATGGTATTGGAGTATTGCGAAGAAGGAAATCTAAGAGACTGGCTTTTAAAAAAGAAGGATAAAATAGGAGATGAAATGATAGAACAATTATTTCAGATTGTTTTTGGGGTAGCAACCGGAATGGAATACTTGGCTTCAAAACAGGTAGTCAATATGAATTGCAAAGAAACCTTTAAACAGAAATATAGCATTTGTCATCTAAACTAACTTTTTTCTAATCGCAAGGACACGAAAGAAAATGCTTTGCATCATTTGACTATTTTGCATTGTATTGAACGTTATTTGTCGTCATTGGTGGTTGAAACCAAAACTAAGTAATGCGAAACTTTTAAAAATTGAAACGGATTTTACCCAAATCAACGCGTAAGGAGGTCTACAAACCCGGAAGAAACTCCAGTGTAACTAGATGATATGGCACGAATTTGATCCTTTATATGTCTTTTTTCTCTTCAACTGAAATATCGAAGTTAAAAAAACGTTTACTAAAACTCTTCAAATATACCAGTCTTATAATATGGTATGTCAGACGAACATTTCGTCTGCATCAACTCATCAGTGGCGATCGAATCAGAACAATACGAAAGCCAAATCAAATACGAAGTTGAAAAGCATTAAAACCGAAAATCTCGAAAATGCCAAATATGACTAGGGCAATCTATGTCAAGGGTAATAAAAACCTTAATGATTCGAATAATTTAAATTTTATGACCAGTAAAATTACAGAAAATGAACTTATCAATGATATTTCATGTCAACATAAAATTGCTGACTACTGTGATGGTAATACCCTTGGTGACGAAACGTCCACCACCAGTGGCATCGACCCAGTGGTTGTTAAAACTCATCAAAGAAAACAAGCTTATAATTGGTACGCCAGACGCGCGTTACTTAGACAGTACCACATACAATCCACTATGTGCGTTCATAATCAATGTATAGTGACAGGAACTAAATATTTGCATTTAATTTTTCTTTTTAAATTAACTGATATTTTCATAATACTATACTCCTGTTTGAACAGTAATTGTGGGTATTTAGTTAGAAATCACATTGATAAGAAATATATATCGTAACAAAAACTTTCTGTCTAGTTCGGATGGAGGAGAGGTTTCAAATGAACTTGTATTTTACTCTTGTAAACTCAATTATGGGTTCCTTTTTCATCGACATTCACCAAACATATTGAATTCATGGTTAATAAATGTAAATTTGAAAAAAAAACCAATTTGACCTTGGGTTGGGTACAGTGGTGTATTCACAATATCTTTAAAAAAAATATTAAAGCAATATCTCCCTTTATCTTATGGGTTTATTTGTTCTCTCTTATATGGTCTTATGTATTTACCTGTTTTGTTGACATCAAAGTATAAGTATCGTTTTCTCTAAAGAAATGATTCTGTGTTACATTTTGTAAGTTGGAAGATGTATAGAATACTAAAAGTTCAGTTTTGAGGAATAATGTAATAGAAAATTAAAAGATACTGGAATTAATTTGATGCTCTGTTTGCGCATTTTTCATATTTAGTACTCAGCAGTGGTGCACAAAACCAAATATTGGTAAGCCGACATATCAAATGTTGACAAGCAATAAACCAAATATTGTTTAGCCGAAAACATCAAATGATTAGCAATTAACGAAATATTGTTTAGCCGAAAATTTCAAACGTAGCCGAGCTATAAACCCAAAACAATGTCGAATAAAACTATCAAAAATCATTGTCATAAACAATTTAGAATTGTACATTATTTCATAAAAATAAATTCAAATTCAATATAAGAATAAGTTTCTTATTATTTAAGCTAAACAAATCCTTAGAGACTTCAATTTGTATACTATATACTTTAGAGTACATTTAATGCTATAAAACATTTGAATTACATATAAAAAGGGATAACAGCAATCGGAATAAGAAAATGCTCTCTACAATAGAGTAGATCGACCACCAAAATTCCAAAAACTAGTCATACAAAGACAAACAAGAACAAATAACATATGGTCTAGATTGTCTGACTTCGTATTAAATTATAAGCCTTATATCTTTGATAACTATATATTCGTACAGACAAGCAATTTGACGAGGTTAATAAATAAAGGCAATAGTAGTATACCGCTATTCAAAACTCATAAATCGATTAAGAGAAAAGTTTCAGGAATATGTAATAACAACTATCACACACATGACAAACCTACACAGTGCATCTAGCAGGAGAGTTACAGATAACCTGAACAAGGAAATAAAAAACGGAACATATTTCTAAAAATCAGAACAACACAGTTTTTCGAAGTCTCATCATAAAATTTTATTGAAATTGGCAGTGTTTGTAAAAGAGAGACAAAATATGCCAAAGGAACATTCAAATTCACATGTCGAAAATAAAATGACAACGACATGTTAGAAAACGAAAAAGACCAAAAGACATACAACATTAAACAGAACATTACACAGCAAATGAAAGACTCAGCAACATGAACCCAAAGATATCAGGGGCGAAGATGCCCGGAATTATTTAAAATTATCCAACAAACGGAAGAAAGAACCAGTATAATTGAATTAGTGAGTTTATCACCCTTGTAGCTCATGCTGTTGAACGATTAAAAAAATATTCAGAAAATGTTCACATGATTATGTTTAATCTGAAGAATTGATATTGCAAACAGTGTTAACTGCCTGATCTAGTAATACATGAACATTTTATGTCATTTCTGATTAGATTGTTCATCGAAGATTGGCGGCAAGGAACATTTTACTTCCTTTTACATTGATACCGAAGATTTCTGGATTTGGGCCTACACCAAATGATGAAACAAAAGATAAGAATGATATAACAAAGGTAATTTTTCTCACGTTATACAAACGTTTTTTGCATTAATAACATTAGTTACATAGTGCATTTATTAGTTTTTCAACCAAAAAAAAAATACAAAACAAGAAGTGCTTTCAACCTTATCAATTTTGTCATCGATTTTCTGATTGCTATGTACTTTTGTTTTAAATTTAATTGCACCTCAAAGCTAACTTCTTGTGAATCTCATAAAAACATATATGCACTTTTGAATAAACAAGTTTTTTCTTAATTTTAATACAAGTACAGGTATGTTTGTAACTCAACACACAACAATTGAAATAACAAATTTAAATCAGATGAGTTGTTTAAATATTCTAAATTTCATCTGGTTATTTTTACAAATGAATTCAGTATACGATTTTACTCGTTTTTATAATATAAGTCTCACACAAAATGTTTTTGCTATGCAACAATATTTATTTGGAAAGTCTCATTAAACAACATGTAATTCACAGAAAATCCGGGAATCCACACATATACCACATCATTCACGAAAATGGAGATTTTTGAAAAAAAACACAAATTCATTCTCTCCATTGGTATCAACTTATAAATAGACGATGAAAATCACCCGCCTTTATACTGGATACTTTATAGACTTCCCAAAAACCCTTTTAACTCGATATGTAGCCGGTTTGTGTAGATGTTCGAGGAAACATTTTCTTAAGTTCTTACTTCCATTCGTTCTTCATATAGCCTTCAGACATATTGTGTTCAGGTATATTCAACCAGTGGGGTTAATCAGATGTGGATTCCTAAAAGTTCTTCAGACTGACTTTAATATCTAAATTACAATCTTTAAAATTTGTTTATTTTTCTACGCTCTACAATACTATTTTCCGTGATAAATTGAAAGATCTACTAAACTTTCTTTCTAACCGTGTTTTTCTACAGAAATAGAAACTGTATATACATCACTCTTGCTTTAGATCATGATAAGTCTTTCTGTGTGAAGAACCATACTGATTCCAACACAGATACACTGAAGATGAAAACATCCAAATGATTAACTTCTTGATCGACCATATATTTTTGGGTTTGGCGGACTGATATTTCTACATTCCAATGGTTACTAAAGTGTTCACTGACTTGTTTTTGTACTCATATGAATCCAGAATTCATACTAGACTATTTCAAAGAAAAGCAACAAAAAAAAAACATCTTGCAAAGTTCTTTAATTAGACTTTCAGTAATATTGATGATTTCCTTTCACTCTAAAACGAACATGTCCGTGAACGCTTAAATCTCATATATCCCATTGAACTTGAGATGAAGGAACAAAGATACTAATAGAAGGTCTGCTTCATATCTTAATTGTTTCCTTCATATTTCTTATCAGATACATACTCTCTGCGTTATTGTATGGCGTTTACATGTCGAATGAACCAAAGATACAAGCGTGTGTTTACAAATCTATCTTACAGGAGAGAGTACCAGTAAAATGGATGGCACCAGAGTGTACTTTGTCTACAGTAAATGCAACCACAAAGAGTGACGTTTGGTCCTATGGAATTGTTATGTGGGAAATTCTAAGTTTAGGTATAAAAAAGTTTAATTCCAATTTAAATCTAATTCCTACGTTTTGTTATGCAAATAGAAATACTTTAATAATAAAGTCTTGATATATTACGTAAGAAGTGCTGTTACTGTATTTTTACATTAAGACCAAGTCTGATTTATAAATAGCAGTACATGTTTCGTTATAAAAGAGTACAAAGTAAAATCACAAAAATACTGAACTCCGAGGAAAATTCAAAAAGGAAAGTCCCTATTCAAATGACAAAATCAAAAGCTCAAACACATCACACGAATGTATACCAACTGCCATATTCCTGACTTGGTACAGGCATTTTCGTATGTAGAAAATGGTGGATTGAACCTGGTTTTATAGCTAGCTAAACCTCTCACTTGTATGACAGTCGCATCAAATTCCGTTATATTGACAAAGATGCATGAACAAAACAAACAGACACAATAGGTAAAAATGTAAAAAATTGGGGTACAGCAGTCAAGACTGTGTTATCATCTTAATCACTATAAAAACAAACAAATGTAACAAAGAAGCATAAAAAGGCATACATCAAATTTAACAACCTCATTTTACTTTTTTGTTATACGATTTTTTTTATATATGTAAAATCCACCAATGAAGGATTGAAAAATTTTAAGTACTGGGACCGAATCCTTACCCTGACAGACACATGGTTAGATTAACATTAACTTTGACGTATAATCGTTTAATACAATAATTTTGTCGTTCAATGTATAACGGGATGCATCAGTACATAGTCACGTCAAATGGATATCACAAAAAACAGACTTAACAGTAAAAGAAATTTCTTGTATTATTATTTGGTATGCCAAACGTGCGTTTCGTTTACATAAAACTCAGCAAATCAGTTGGAAGACAAAATCAGAAATGAAGTTGAAGAGTCCTGAAAACAAAAAATCCGAAGCTATTCACTTTCATTTCTTATGAATAAATTTTATGCATATGTGACTTCTAAAGTAATCAGTTATATTCATATGCGACTTTGCAGAATATCATAGTCTAATTTAGATATATTTTTTTGTTATTTGTTTATTTTCATTCTTTAAGAAGATTTGATTATCTTTATGAATTAACTTAATACTAGATGTGCAATTTATGTAATTATTCAGGCGAAACTCCATACGGAGGAATTTCAAGCCGAAATGTTCCAGACAGAATACAGAATGGACACAGACTTGCACGACCTGAGTATAGCACAGATACGTACGTACCTATAATAATAGTTGTTTTTTGTTATCTATAAATTAACTTATGCAATCGAAAGATCAGCATAATATATCTCCATTTTTTTATTTACTGGATTGCATCAAAAATTAATTCCAAATTTATCAAGTGCAGTATTTTTGTTATAACATTTTGTATGTCGATGAATGATAAAATTACAGGAATTAATAAAAAGTAATATTTCACATCCAATTGATGATAACTTTATCAATGAATCAAACAAGTGAAAAAAATTTCCTTTAAAATATTGCTTTGTTTATGGACTAGTTATAAAATCTTATTTGAAATTGAATAATAAAGAATTTATATCATATGTTAAATTTTTTTCAACAAGAATATGTGTTGTAGGGAAAACATATGCCCCAGTATTACATTTTCATGTTCAGTGAACCACGAAATTTGGGAATAACCCGTTATAAGGCATACATAAAAAAAAATGTATATCACAATGTGTACTAAGTTTTGATACGTTGGGAGCACGAATTACCTTTAACCAATAATTAAACTTACTGCTCCAATTCTATCATAGGCAGTTATAGCAATTTTAAATACTTTTGATCCATTGATTTTCGTGAGAACCAATTTTCGTGGATTGTGACAAAAAAAATGTTGTGTGGATATCTGATTTTATAGTTTTGGCATAGTCTGACACTCCTCAAACATATGGCACTTCGTTGAACATCTAAATTGTGGTTTACCTATACCATGAAAATTGGTATCCCACAAATATTGATAAATTCACTTTATTTTAATATAATAAAAATACCGTGCAGCACAACATGTTGTTGTGAAGACATTTTTAGACGAAAGTGCAAAGGATAAGATATGATAAAAATTCTTTTTGGCCCCTTGAATTCGAAAATCAAAACGTTTTATAAATCAACCAAATAAAATCCGTCATGAGTTCATTAAACATTAGATGACCATAAAATTTATTTAGTGTCTATTTCACTCGTTCTTCCTCATAATGCTGTAAGAACAGTTTTTAAACGATCGAAAAAGCCATTTTACCGGGTTTGTACTAACATGAGCAACACGACGGGTGCCACATGTGGAGCAGGATCTTCCTACCCTTCTGGAGCATCTGAGATCACCCCCAGTTTTTGGTGGGGTTCGTGTTGCTCAGTCTTTAGTTTTCTATGTTGTGTTTTGTGTACTATTATTTGTCTGTTGGTCTTTTTCTTTTTTAGCCATGGCGTTGTCAGTTTATTTTCGACTTATGAGTTTGAATGTCCCTCTGGTATCATTCGCCTCTCTTTTGAGATCTTGTCATTAACATATTAACAGGAACAAAGGTTTTACCCAAATTATGATATTTTGCTACAAAATGTAATTTATAAACATATCAAACCTTTTTTCATATCAATAAGATTTACATACTATTAGTTTGAATGTCTTGAATTATATTAATATTTTTGTATTTTCAGGGGTCAAATAATGGCTCTGATCAAACCTTCTCCTTGATATGTTTTTGAAAATATATTGAAGGATGTTGCTAACCAAAATGAGCAAAGGTTTTACCCTAAAAGATATTTTGATACAAAATGTACATTATAAACACATCAAGTCTTTGCTCATATCTATCTTTTACTATGAGTAAATTTGCCACTTTTCGCCAAATATGACAATTTCAACATGTCAATGACGTCATAGTGACAACACGAATACCGTTTTTGCACTAAAGTGCACAGATTGTATTAATCTGTTCATGAATATTGCATGTTATATTCATCAAAGAGTTTTAAATAGTCATTGAAGGTTGCTTTCGTTAATTGAAATAGCAATGCTTAGTATTGTTTGTATTAGAATAATTATTGTGTGTAGGCCTGTCAACTAAAATCTATGACAAACATTATAATTTAAACTTTCCAATTGTCAACTTCCCATTTCTCAGCAGTTCATGCGATTACCTCAGTTTTTGTGTTGCCTTGATTTGTCTCTTCCTAATCGGATTTGAACATAATTAAACTACTGTCGCCTTAATATAATACCGATAAAAGCAGCTTTTGGTAATTGTTTAGTGCATGTTATTCAATTGATCATTTGTTAAATTGATTCCTCAAGATGATAAGGGGAACGTTGAGTAGTCAGATAGAAAAAATCAAATCCCACAATGTTAAAACGTTTATAGTAAAATCAAGGGTTGTGTAATTATATTTTGGTCTTAAATTGTTTTGTTTCTTGTGTTTGTGATTATTTTTTAAAAGATTTTGGTGATATCTACAGATCATTGATAGTATTTGTTAAGTTTATTTCCATAAATTGTCTAGACCCGTGACGATAAAGAGATTTACAAACAGTCACATGTTGTGTATGCAAGATTTCGTTTGACTTTATTTTTGTAACCTTAATTTGTGTTGTTCGGAATATTAGTATTTATCAGAACTCGAAAAAAACTAACATTATTCTTACTCTTTTAGACACTACAAAATAATGAAAAAATGTTGGAGCCTTAAACCAGAAGATCGTCCCGTATTTAAAAGCATTGTAAAGGAATTCGACAGCACATTCCGGACAAGCCCATCTGATGATTATTATTATGAAATGCAGAAATGAACAACGACGTTCGTGATAACACAGATGTAGCTTCCTTCAATAATGCTGTAGAAAAATTTCTTTTTGATTCTTAACCATTTGTTTGATACCTTCTCAGTTGTAATGACGAACATGTTTGAATTTTTAATTTTTTTAGCATCTTTTTGTGACGTAGCAATATGTTAAAATATTGTCATAATATGCTTTACAGTAACTCGCTGATTTGTAAGTTTTGTTTGCCAGGATTTGTGTACGAGTGGTAGTTTTTTGTTGTTGCTTAAATTAAAGATTTTTAGTTGATAACTTCTTGAATCTTTGAATTTAAAATACCTTTGAAGCAACAGTAGAAGCAGTACCACAGGAAACAGTATGAGATGTAAATATGACAGCCAATATTAGGTAGGATGGGTCAATATATCAACTGCAAAAAATCCGTGTTTTTAATAATTTTCAGTATGTAAAAGGACCCCTGCATTAAAAATTCCAGATAAGTCCCATATAGACGATATGATGTGAAACATACAAACTGACCACTTAACAATACATCATTCATTGATTGGTAATTCAAGCTTCTTTACAAATGCTGTCAATGTTCTTCACATATGAAAAAAAAATAAACATATGAAAAAAAGTCTCCCTACATATCTTGTTTACTGTTTGAATATCATATAATGTTACCAGTTTGACTTCGAGCAGACAAAAAGCGTTTAAAGTGGTAGATACTTCTTAAGATATTATTAATATAGAATGCATATTATATCTCTAACAATGTACCGGTTATATTATAACAACATTCACACATACATGCATACTCGGAACTTTTATTACATTTTTTAAAGTTTTTTGACAGACGAAAAACATTCAACATTAGAGTTTCGTGTTTATTTGACACAGATACTCCAAAATATTTTAGTTTAGACAAATTAAACAGTGAAATATTCGTTTCTATAACTGGATTTGATATGGTTTTATAGATCCTCAGAGATGCAAAAAAGAAACGGAATGAGTCATCCGCCTTTGACTTTTATCTATTTTTTTCTTACATCATATGAAGTTTATAATTTATCGTATTAGATTTTCATATATATAGAACTCGAGAATGAATCATTTAATGCTGATATCAATTGTTGTTTTCGCAAAAAGTTTACCGCTAATAATAAAAAAATTACAATATTTTAACTGACATCATTATCCTGTACCAGGCTGTATTAAATTTCTTGTCAAGATAAAACTATTATTTTCTAGGAGTCATTGACGTTTTAGCATTTGGTTATAATATACCAGAACTCTGTTTATTTAGTTTCTCTACATTCCCATGTTTGTTTAAACCTGAACTTAGTGTATGTTTAGACCAGTTTACTATCAACAAATATATGTCATAAAATAAATGTATGTATACATTACCGATTTCCCTGCGCACTGGAACAAGCCAGACACACTGGAGAAAAAAAAACTTGGGAAATTTATAAACAAAAACGCCTATACAGAACGGTCATATTTTTTTCTTGGATGGACTTGTTTATCCGTTTTTCCTTTGTTCATTTGTTGTCTATCTTCATTCGACTAATGGCGTTCAATGCTCTTTATTTTTATTTTTTTATTACAATTCTTGTCTTAGGAATAAGTACTGTCAAAGTCAACAACTTATAAAAAACATTTATTGGATTTGGTGCATTCGAAGCTCATTTCAAGACTTCACAATCAGGAACTCTCATACACAAACACTTGAAAGACAAGGATGTATGAATACTTAAATGCGTGATGACCTATATAACCAAAATGTAGCTAAATAGAATAGCCAAACTTATGTATGGTTCATTTTGCCTGAGGGAGTTGGCACCATAGTTTCATTAAAAAATTTATAATTTATTAACAGGAAATTAAAGAAAGAGATGGTATAGATCATGTCAATACCGAAGCACTAATTATTATGCTAATGATAGACCCAGGGACAAACAATCCAAAAAAAAAATGTACAGACCAAGTGCTTGAAAATAAACGTTAAGTACAGGAAAGCACATCCAACTAAGTAAGACATCACGTGACTTTGGTGACGTAGCGAGTCGCCATTTTGTGTCATTTTGTCACATATAAAATGCGTAGGTGCTTCAATAAAGTTCAATTTTCTCATTAATCTGACCTGTTTTCTAACTTTTGCAACTATATCCTTAGTATTCGAACATAGTTCTGACAGTTTAATTTTTTATTAAATTACGTCCCTGGAGATTCGTAAAAATCGTACTTTTCCTCGTCATTTCCCCGTTGACTCAATGGTAAATCTAGCGACCCCATGTCTACTTGCACATCAAATTCACAAATTCCGTAAATAAAAGTAATACTTTGCAACTCGATTGAGAATATCAGAACATATATCTGGCAAAATATTCTACTTCAAACAGTTTAAATCGAGGGCAAATTACGTCCAACATCGATTTAAAAAAGTGATTTTTTTCGGGATTTTTCAGAATGGCGGATAGGTTTGGAAGTGTCGCATGTATTCTTAAACATCTTGCTTTTTTCATGCAGAATTTGTGCTGTTTCTGTTTTTTTCTTCGTTGATATTCTGGTATGTTTGATTTCTAAATTTCTTGATAATAATAAATTATTTCAAGTAAAAAAATAGTTACCACTGAAATTTATAAGAAAATTTTTTTTTAAAGATTTTTATCACTTTTTTCTGTATAATTTATCTTTATATATATATATAAAAAAAAATATTCTTTTTAGAAAAAAACATTTGCGTCTCGAGAGAAAAAACATGCACAACAATGGATAAATGTTCTGTACCTATTAAAGTTAATGTCCCTTTAAAGTTTCTATGACCAATATATGACCAATATACGAACAGGTTAACTCAGATTTAAGTTATAATGTTTCGGAACAACAAAATTGTCAGGTAATGTAAAGGAATCGTGTCAAACCAAAAGCCATCAGGTGACATAAACATCCTGTGTACACATGTGTTTCCAAAGTTTAGTTTTAGTGATATACACAAGTTTTCTAAATGTACAAATATATTATTCTCTTTCCCGTGTACACTACCGAAGAAATGTATATCATAAAGAACTTTAAGAAAATGTGAACATTATGAAAAATTCTTCGATAAGTTGATTTTTGATTAAGAAAATAACCAAATATTAATGTTTCACGATAATTGTTTAAAAAAATTCAAATTTTATATTTAATAGATTTTTTTTTATTTCATAGAACATTAAACGATACTTCATTGCATATGATTTTTGTCATTTATTTTTTTAATTCAATGTATTAAGCAAAATCCAGGCATTAAAAAAAAAATCAATACTGAAATTTTAACTTGTGTAAAAAATATGTCATTGCATACATTTCAACATTGTATATCCCGCCAATATTTATCGACAGAGTTATCGATCCTGAATAGGACTGATATAGTTGGGTATGGAATACATCACAGCTGTGCTGAAACAATTGTTATCCTTTTATTAATAATAAATTTATTATAGATACCAGGATTAAAATTGTGTACGTCAGACGTTTCGTCTACAAAAGACGCTCGAATCAAAAACGTATAAAAGGCCAAATAACGTTCGAAGTTGAAGAGCTTCGAGGACCCAAATTCCAAAAGGTTTTGCTAAATACAGCTGAGGTAATCTATTCTTGGGGTAGAAAATCCTTAGTATTTCGAAAATCTCAGAGTTTTATTTACAGTAAATTTATAATTATGACCATTTGAATGATAATTCATGTCAACACAGCCTACTGAGCTGGTGATACCCTTTGAGAGAGGAAACCTCCACCATCAGTGGCATCTGTTACCGGCATAGATAACAAGAAGAAGTAGAAACTTAGTTATGCAACGTTTTTATTGATACAGCTCTCATTATAAATATACATTTAATATTTATATATATTATTTATACTCTCTTTGACAAAAAAAAAAATCAAAATTTTGCACAATATTATCTTTAGACCTCCATTTACAGGCTTGTTAAAATTGAAACTAGCATAAAACATACAACATGATAAAATGAATACATAAAAAGATATGAAGGAAAATCACAGTAAGTATTGTAATAAAGTTTGATAAATCTTGAACATAAGTATATTTTAATTGTTCCTTTACTTATGTCTTCAAACACACACACACAAATGCATAATAAAAATAACACAGGGACATGTATTGACTACATTTCAGAAAAATCAAAAACATTTATAAGCTGCCATACAACTGCATGTATGAGAGTCAATGTCCTTTTAAATCACTTTTTAGTTTTTACCTGATCATAAAGTTTTGACGACTAGCAGCATCCGAAATATCAATGGGAAGCTATGAGTATTTATTTATAGGTGGCACGGTAGTATTTGCATTCCGGAATTAAGGTTGCACTTTTGTGTACCCTACTTAAGTCAATGTATCTGAACAGTGTGATTGGACAAAAAATACAGTACATATCAACTGAACATACTTTCCCAAACTGAGGGATGAACCAGGTGTAGAAAAATATAAAATAAATTTACATACAGGTGAAAATGAATTTTTGAGAATTTTTGAGAATTTTGTATTCACTGCATGATAAAAGACCTAAAAGCACTAGTGGCCTTAGGGTTTTAAAGATAGCAAAAAAAGTAAACGGTCATGATACATATTCAAATTCATTTCTGAATATTATAATGAAAGTACATCAGTTAACTGTGTATGTAGAATTTTGGGCAGTGTTAGAAAGTGGTGATAATTTTAAAAAGGCTATCATTACAATGTATCCCTATGGGCCAGGAAATACTACCGTGCCACATATAAACACATCTAATTATAAAACTTTTGAATATGATAAAATATAAAGTCACGGACGGATGATTAGTTGGATGATGCCTAATATTCCTTTCTTCATATACAAAAATCAGTAAACTTAACATTTTAAGTTAAAATGTTCTAAATAAAATATGCCAGCCATCTGGAGGTCAACATACGTTCTAAACAGCTGTGGGTAAACTAAGCAGAGACTAACGAAGATCTGTGATAAACTCCAAATAAAAAAAAAGACAAAACACCCACCACCAAAATGTGACAAACGACAACAACCGAAAAAACCCAACTTAGAACAAAAGGAATGCAAGAGAATGATGTTAAATCTGCTTATAATATTTGATACACATTAAAGTAGAAATTATTTCCGAAACTAAACTTCATTAATCTACCCATTTTGTTCGTAAAACGTTATATTCCAAAGGAACGTATTCTGGATAAATTTCAATAGATAAATTATCTTGAAAGTAATCAAAATTGTTAGCATATGACAATGTAAAATATGGTATTGTAAAAATTCCATGCCCTTGAAAATCTAAGAAAGAAAACGCAACAATCTTTCCTTTTTTCGATAGCAAAAATAACAGATTCTAATCCATATACAGCGTAGTAACATTAACAGTACCTTGAGTGGGGGTATAATAACGTTTAAAGTGATAGATAATCTGGCACCTGGATATCTGTATGAATTTATGCTTTTCAGTTTACTTCAAAGTTGAACAAAACTCTGTTCGCAATTAATATTTTAGAGATTATGGTCAATAATGTAGATATGAATTCATACAAATGTAAAATGTGTAACATATAAATATTTAAGTCTAAAATGCGAAAGGTTAGCTCCCAGGTAAAGAGCTACAGAAACAATTTATTAAACTGTTACATATAATGAGGCATAATTTGTCTATTTTTATCAACATGATATGATTTCTTTCTAAATGATACACAAATATAAGGTGAACATGAACAATATGTTTCAGTCCAATACTGTCAGGTAAAGGTCATGACATGAAATATAAACACTCTAGACATTTTTACTGGCAGAAAACTAAGTACTTTGCCAAATTAAATTTCAAACAATTTCATTGTAGAACGTGTACACTCACATTTCAGCTGATGTGGCATCATTCACTCATTGTTGAATGTCATGCGATGACCTACATTTGTTTGCATTCTTTTCCTATTGTCTTTAGTGGGTAGTTGTCTAATTTGAAACTAGAAGCTTGATAGATTTGTATGATTTCATTAAAATTCTTAATCACATTTTGTCATCCTTTTAAAAGATGTTAATTATCCAAGTTCAAGTGATTTCTTACCATCTAGATACCATGACAGTCAAAACACGATTTTTCGGGAATTACACTCATACTGATATACTATTATTTTGTCTGCGGAATCTGACGAAATTACGGCAAAAGTAAGTATTTAATGTGATATTTAAAATAGCATTTTTTATTTAGCATTTAGCATTTCCTTTCAAACAGCATGGCTTATCATGATACATTTGTATATAACGCAATTTGCATGCAAATAATCTAAAATCCGCGGAAGTTCTGTTCAAGTTTGGTAAAAAGAAGGTTTATGAATCTAATAAATGTTTTAAAAACTTTAACTGCAGACTGTACGTAATGTTAACTGGAATAAAACTAAGTCCATTTATAAGTAATATACGGAAAAACAGGGAATAAATTTTTACAAAATTTCCTTCTAGATACTATCTTATGATTATAAACAAGCTTCTGTCCAAGTTTGGTACCAATCTAGGATAGTTTAAGAAAGTTATTAAAATTTGAAAAACTTTAACCACAGAGTGAGTGTAATGTTAACTGGCAGAAAAACTAAGTCCATTTATGAGTAAAATACGGATAAACAGGATATTTGTTTTACAAAATTTACTTCTGGATACTATCTTATGATCATAAACAAGCTTCTGTCCAAGTTTGGTTGAAATGCAGGATAGTTTAAGAAAGTTATTAAAATTTCAAAAACTTTAACCACAGAGTGAATATTTGTGGACGCCGCCGACGACGACGACGACGCCGACGGAATGTAGGATCGCTATGTCTCGCTTTTGCGACAAAAGTCGCAGGCTCGACAAAAATGTAGAAGTAGTAGCCATCAATATATTAAAAAAATAACCACTAAGATGCTTTTCTTGTTTGTGTGTTTGAGAGTGTTGAAAGACGTAAATGTCTTTCTGTACTGTTATATTTACGCTTGAATTCAATTGACTATAGCGTCAAGATTTCTGTTCATAAGCCTATGAAATTCCAGCATTTTGAAAATACAACACACTTTAATAGTTTCTTATCCTCCCCTATGATGTTTTAAGGACATGTTAATTTCAAATGAATGTCTAATTTATTTCGTAAATGTTATCATATTTTAGCAAAATACCTTCAACTTTCACGGGAATTATTAGTCGGAAAAAAGAAGACATGGTGTAGTCGCTTTCTTGGTACCTTAATTTTTAAAATAACAAAGTGTTATAAATTTATCGAACACCAGATGTTCTATTCACGTAAGATAAGTCTGAAAAATCAGAAGATGTGTATACGTAAATGAAATAGCACTTCAATGACACAAAAAGAACAAAATATATCTTGTGCTCCACATACGATCTTCAACAACAGACAAGTGCTTATATATGTTATAACATATGATACAGAAGTGAAAATCTTAATCGAATTCAGTCTTATGTAATGTAACTTACACTTAAAAAAATGAAATCAAAACGAACCCACAAAGGATAAAAAAAATGAAGATATAACTAATATAAAAATCAACAAAAAGGTACATACATGTACAGAATATGATAGTCATTTCAACAAAGTACTCAACTATACTGGTAATGTAAAGTAAAAAAAGACAAAAAGTATATCATCAAATTTTTGTAGTTCCAGAATGCAAGCTAAAAATACTAAAATTGACGATTAAGAATTCATATAATACTACACGCCAACAAAAGTGGCTGTACATCTGACAATATTTCTTACATGTACAACAAAGTCATTAACAATGCAGGAAGGCAATATGCTATGCATCTGTAAAGTATAATAATACAGAAATTAAAAAAGAAACATTTTTATTTTGTTTCGAACAATGGATAAGTTAATTTGTTACAGATATCAGTCATAACAACTCTGCTTTTTATCTAACATATTAGCTTGCCACTAACAATGTAAAAGTTGTTGATATAAGGAAAACACCAAGGCTTCCCAATTACCACCAATTGTAATTGTAGATAGTTCAGATAATATTTAGATACTAGCAACATCCTTGCTCAATTTTTGGTAAAGAAGTTGATGTCTGTCAACTATTTTAGGCATCGCTATTTTTTCTTAAATGATATTAACTCAAATCGAGCCGTTATTTCTCACTATGGATTTAATCAGATTTTTATCATCGCGGGGCATGTTTTAGGTTACTATACAGCTTGAATTTTGATCTTCGTTGAGACCTTACGGTAACCTGTAAATGTTCACATCCTTGTCTTATCGTATTTTTTGTGTGGATGTCCAAATATCAACCATACAAAATCTCCTTTTTTAATACATTCAGTCCACAAAAAAAAGATATGGTTAGGATGTTACAATAACAGCACTTTGACATTTTCACTAAAAGTCGTCGGACTATAACTACCTACTCATTGATCAAGCATAATTGTGAAATGTTTTAAAATTTGTTTTAGTTTCTATCACACATCATCCTTTCGATTAAGCAATTTTCGAAGGTGGCAACAGATGAGTTTCTTGTTTTTTTTTCAAATTTTGTAAATAATAGTTTTATTAAATTCATGATGACCATGTGGCCCTTAGTTAGTTGTATGGTTTAGCTTTGAAAAGATCAACTGGGCTAGCGGTTCTTTCTGTCCATGCAATCGATAGGTCACTTGTGTCTTTTCTATACTGCAGTGGAAAACCTGTTGAACTTGGTGGACAGTTTTCGTTTTGTATACCTGCCTGTACGAATATACTATGATCACTATGATTACTATTTCGTCGTCGTTGTCTGTAAAATAAATATCCCAACAAAGAATGAGTAAAACAAATGTAGCAAATAAAACAGAATACAGTTATAAATTCAAAACATATCTAAATATAATATTAATGAATAATCTATCTTTCCTCATATACATCCGTTTGATTTCATGGCTGAATTACGCTATTTGGACGTTTTAGGAAAATTTCATATTTCTAAACATACATGTAAGATACATAAAGCTTCAGCAGTTATGATAAATATGTCATTTTATTTTCAAGAATGGTCAGGTATAACTTCAATTAATACCTGTAATATGAAAATGTTTACCCTGATATATTTTGCATCGTATTTTATATTCAGAGAGTAAATACCTGAAATTTTAAGTAAAACTTACTTATCTTTATTCTTTTTATATTTCATCAAGACAAGCAATGACACGATTGTCACGAAAACAACTATTGATATGATAACAGCTATGATGGCAATCAGACGAGTACTTGACTTTGATTCTGTAACAAAGAAAAGGAAATATTATTTAGTATTTTCTTTTTATATTTCATTTCACTGAATAACTAAAGTTAAATCAAGGAATGTATAACCAAAACTAAAGAAGAAGAACATATTAACAAAAAAAGACGGATAGGGCAAATAAATGTGAAATAAACCTGAAACTCTCCTGGATATATGTCCTCTCTTTAACCTTATTAAAAAACATTAGGTTCATTAACGTTTACTTTTTTAATGACTTATTGAAAAAAATTAAAATTCGATTAGAAATAAAAATAAATTATGCTATGGTACCCTCATTTTTAGCTGATGAGAATGACAGAAAACTTAAATATTCCTTAAAGATCTTCTGTACACTACATAGTTCCTGCAAAGTCAAATTTATATGTTGTGTAATTTGACAGGTGTATAAATTTTGTGCATTCTTGATATTTTTTAAAAGGTCATAGATTGTAGTTTCAGAGGAAACTAAATCTAAAAATTTGACTAACCAGGTCCATATAAGTATATGATGGTTTTGTCATTTAACCTGATCAAAATGAAATTACAGTATTATCGGTGCCTTATTCTGACAAGATAGTAGGTCATATAATGCCCTAATATGCCCTATTCATTAAAGATCTTCTGCACACTACATAGTTTCTGCAAAGTCATATTAACATTTTGTGTAATTTGACAGGTGTACAAATTTTGTGCATTCTTGTTACATACAAAGTCTAAAGATCTTTTGGGTCACCAATTTTTGAAGTGTTCTACATAGTCCTTAGCATGTTTCAATTTCCAAAAATATACCTATTTTTCACATTCCAAATTTTCGAGCACACTGGTCTGCTCTTGTCACATGAAAATTCAATATAGAAATATTGTCTTTTCATGAATATAACAATATAAAAGTCTGTCTGTGCAGGTTAAACAAGTTAAACTGCAAGCTACTGCTCACTGATGATACCCCCGCCCAAATATGTCGGTAAACAGGAAGTTGTTGAGTGATGTAATGTAGTTCCTGAGATAAATGCGACGAAAATTTTCAACTACTTGGATGTCATGTGTAGAATGATGTAAGTGTTCGGTAAACAGGAAGTTGTTGAGTAATGAATCTGAAAACGCATCACACGGTATAACTGACTTATATAAACCCTGAAACCAAATTTCAGAAATCCTTATGGTGTAGTTCCTGAGAAAAATGCGACGAAAAATATTCATGGGCCGGACGGACGGACGGACGGACGAACAGACAGAGGTAAAACAGTATACCCCCACTTATTTAAAGCGGGGGTATAAAAATTAAAGATAAATATTCTTATAAAGTAGGCATCTTTTTACTATTGTTTATACAATTTTAAGAAAAGGTCGTCTCGATTTTTGTACATGTATTTGCGGTCTTCTCGATCTATTCACATTTTCCCTGGCTTTCTCTGATCTAGCTGCATATATATACGGATAATTAGCATGTTCCAGAGAGGTATACAGCCATTAAAAAAATAAATTGAGGTTGGTACGCCTGGAATTTATTCGCATAGCAACATTTTAAACCAATTTTACACCAAGCTCCTTTAGTCTGCTGTACTCGTCGTTTTCTATTTAAGGAGGGAAAGGATAACATTACATGGAAGTTTGTTTTTTATTTCAACTTTTCAAGTTTCTTGAGAAAAGATTAAAGTGTAAAAAGTGAGGGGCCAAGGAAACAAAGTGATGACAGTAGATAAATTGTCGCTTTTTCCCAAACATGATAAGCTTAACAACCACACATGCAACTCTAGTTATCATTACTTACGACAATTAATGTTTATATAACAACGATGAATAATTAAATGCAGAATTGGTAAGAACGTTACTTACCTTTATCATCATGGGTTCCAGGATCTAAAGTACAGGTTTCCTATGAAAATAACATACTATTAAAATATGTTTTATTTCTGTGTAAATTTAGAAGGTTACCTAAACAGCTTAAAATGTTGAAGCAGACTTCAGAATTACAGGTAAAAAATGTAAAAAAAAACAAACTAAGACACACAACTTAATACATACTGAATGTAACATCGATAATAATAAGAAGGTTTAATCTTCGACACATAATCTCTAAGGAATGACATGATATAATTTAATTATAGTCTTTTAAGGTGATAATTTATCTTTCATAAAGATCAATGAATTCTGTTGATAAACTGCAATAATCTAACCTTAATACTTCAATATCAAGAAGGATTTTTAACATGATTTTCCCAATTTGATTTATCTTCCCTATCCAATACTCATTGTATTTATGTATAACAAGTCGACACTTACCGATCTGACACAAGTCGATGTTGAGACATTACAAGTAAAACAGTCTTCGTCGAATATAATAACTGTGACCGAGTCCCCGTAATTAATTTGATCATATGACAGATATATATCATATCCTTCTGCACCATCGTTTGTCGATCGCCGTTTCCGTGATGACTCCGGGAATTCGCAGGAAATCATATTGTCAAATGAAAAAACAGCTGTTTTGATATGTGTACTCCCAGATAGCTGTTTCCCGTCTTCAGCAATCTTTAAATAGTAATATAACTCGGTTAATATAATGCAATACATTATGATTCATGAAAATATCAAATATAATTAATTGTATAATAAGAAAATGAAACTTTATAAATTTCATGCGTCCGAGGCGCATTTCCCTTCTTCATGATGCTCAAAGCCGAATATTTGAAAGCCAAGGATGCATAAGAACTATAAACACAACAATCAGTGTTGATATTCATACCCTCTCTTAATTTTTCTAATCTTTTGCAGGTCAATAAAGCATATGCCATTTATTCTTTTAATAGATTTCAAGAAAATTATGAAAATACAACTTCTATTATTTGCTTGTCATGGAATTTTAAATATAAATGAGTTTTGCATGATTTAAAATGTGGGTCTCTTTTTATTTTCAAGTAGTAAACAGAGGAAGAAAAACCAAAAGTTGAAGAAAAACTGACAACACCATGGTAAAAAAATCCTCAATGCACAAAATATTGTATAGAAAGCATGAGCGTCACGTTTCCAAACAAAATTCAGTTCTATAGAATCAGCAGTTCCTGCTCCGCCGGTCACACGCTCGCGTTATCTATATTCAAATTTATTCAGAAATAGTCGGTCATAGGATTCGTGTCTTTTTTTTAACCCGAAGACAATATCAATTTCCTAAAATTATTGCACAATGAAAATTATTTTACCCTATAACCTGATCAAATATGAAAAAAGAAAAAGGAAAATTCTGTGTGTTTAACTTCAGTGGAATATATTCTATGCAAATAAATACGATAACATGTTAACGTTTTATGCATATGACAAGGTGAAACGACTCGCTGAATCTGATTTTTGGCGTATTATTTCACAAAATTACATACCGCAGGAGGACATTGTACCCCAGGAACATTATTCTGACTCTGAGTCGACCAATGTTTGCTCATACTCCTAAATGTCACGTGCTTATCGGATGAGCAATAAATACCAATTTTCATTTCTTAGTTTCACCAACCTGAGGGTCTAACCCACGACCTAAAGCACTCGAGGTGCGCATGCTATCACAAAAAACACCGATGCGATTATTAAATATCGAAGTTATAAATGAAAAGTAAGGACGGATGCAACGTTGAATATACTATATTTATCCCTATAAATCCCTATTGTCCAGGTGGTGGTGTTGTAGAGAGTCCTTCAATGAATTTACTTCACCTAACTTTAAGTTATTGGATTCATTTGAATAAACTCGTTAAAGACAACAGGTCTGTAATTAGATTTAGTATGTTAGACATGTGTTTCGTCTACATCATATTGATAAATTGATTTCAGTTAAGATAATTGAAAAAAAGTAAAATATATAACGAATTTGAAAATCTCAAAACCTCAATTTTCAAAAAGTTGCGCCAAATCTGGCTTCTATGTCTGCGGGAAGAACAATCTTAGTGTTTTAAACGAATGATGTTTACATTTTATGAGCATGAAATTTACAAAAATCTCCGCATCATAATACAGTCAAACCTGTATTAAGCAGTCACTCCTGGGAAGTATTAAAAGTGACCGCTCAAGAGAGATGACCTTTTAAATGAGGTTCAGAAAAAAATCTGATTCCGACATCGCCTATGGTCGGGATCTCGGCAAATTGTTTTAGTTTTTTCAATCCGTAGAGTTATGGTTCTTTCGTCAGTGAAATAAAAAATGACGGATTCCGGCTGTAATTTGAAGAAAACATTCAAAATATATTAATATTCGTGGAGAAATAAGTCGGTGATACGGTTTTCAGTGGTAACGGAAAGGAGAAGAACACAAGGAATTCACGAATTCACCTCCTATTGCACAATCTCGGTTGCTAACGGGTTCCGATTTCCATTTTGAATTTGATACTGAACATATATTTTTCACCACGATTGTTTCGGTAATTAGAAAACTAAACTGACCGTTGTTAAGCGTTGAAATGAAGATTTCGTGCTAGAAATAGGTGACCGCTGAGTTGAGCTGAATCATATAGAGACAACGTTTAGGAGGGTCTAAAAGTGACCGTTAGAGGCAGGTGACCGCTGACACGAGGTGAGCGTTGAGGCAGGTTTGACTGCATTTCATGTTCACAAAGGAGCACTGATAATCCAGTACTCAAGACGCGTGTTTCGTCTTCATAAGATAATACAAATTTGCAGGTAAAAAATAGATAAATTCCTTTCAATAGAAAATATATAATAACTCAAGATTTAACTTACAGTGAAATGTTGAAATTTGCAATAAACTACAGGTATATGAAATACTCCAAAAATGTTTGTCTTTTTGCATGATCTTGACTTAGTTCGACATAATCCACCGTCGGGTACAGTTAGCTCCTGTGGTGCTTCAGAGATTGAGATCGAACAATCAGTTCCAATATAACCATCATAACAAACACATTCGGCTGTAATATACATTGCAAAACGCATCAGGACAATTACTCAAGTTAATCAAATTTCACTTGAAATATAATTATACAGTTAGTCATAACCTGTACTGCTTCAGAGTTTGATGTAGAAAAATCGGACCAACAAAAAAAAACCAACCATCATCAACATTCTTTATGCTGTAAAAACACATCAAGACAATTCTCAAATAAATCACATTTCTCATTACAACCAATTAAACCGTGCACGTTGCTACGAAATGTTATTTAACAGTAGATTTATAGATTTGAATCGATAGCATAATAGAAAGATTTGAAAGAATAAAAAAAGGACGGTTTTTCTATTATCAATACAAATATAAGAGACATCAGCCTTTTGTTTTCTATGTTGTGTTTTGTGTACTGTTGTTTGTCTGTTTTGTCTTTTTCGTTTTTAGCCATGGCGTTGTCAGTTTATTATCACAAAACACAACATAAAAACTAAAGACTGAGCAACACGAACCCCACCAAAAACTACGGGTGACCTCATGTGTCCCGGAAGGGTAAACAGATCCTGCTCCACATGTGGCACCAGTCATATTGCTCATTTTAGTACAGTCAAGAAAAACAGTTTTGTCTTTTTCGTTTTTAGCCATGGCGTTGTCAGTTTATTTTCACAAAACACAACATAAAAAATTAAAGACTGAGCAACACGAACCCCACCAAAAACTACGGGTGACCCCATGTGTCCCGGAAAGGTAAGCAGATCCTGCTCCAGATGTGGCACCAGTCATATTGCCTATGTTAGTACAATCAAGAAAAAAAGTACTGTGTTTGTAGAATTATCAGGGTCACTTAGGAAACTAACGATAGGAAATGCTGTTTTACTGCCGATGCTTAATTTTTTTATAATCTGGGATGCGTTCAGAAAAATTATAAACTTTGTATTTTTTTTGGTCTTATTCAAATTACATTAAGAGTTACCTATGGGCAATAATGAGTCTCTCATTCAATCAATACGAGAGATGATTATACACAACTAGTAAATGTTGTAAATGTCGAGTAAAATTTAGTTTTCTATCAGACTTCTCCGTATTATAAACATATCATTGTTAAGTTCATTTGCTCTTTTTTACCTTAGTTCGTGACCTAATCATGATAATTATATTTGTTATTTCTTAAAATTTAATGTACTTACTTCTATTACAGTGACCATGGTTACTACAGTTAGAAGGACATAACAGATTTTGTATCATTTGAAGAACTGAATTTCCATCACTTCCAGAGCTACTTGTGAAGAGACTTTCGTTCCTGTTTATTTCAAATTTACAATCATCCTCCATTAACCAGATGGTATATCGAAGGAATTCTGTACTGCCTGCGATCTGAAAATATATAATAAATTCATAAAAATTATGGAAATTACGAATGTACAAATTTTTCGAAAAATCAATTATAGTGGTTACCGGTACATATGGTGCATATTTGTTTTCTATTAAAGCGCATATGAGGTTTCTTTTACAAATTGAGGAATTCTTAATATTCAGATTCAAGATGAATATTACATAATATCAATATATCTGTACTTCAATTTGATAATTTACGTTATCCATTTTATCTTGTTAAAGTCAAATTTTTCCTAATTTGATTGTTTAGGTTCCCTCTTTTGTCTTCTCCTGACTAAACAACATAAATATCAGCAAACAATCTTTATCAAATTAAGAAAATTATTTTGGCAAATCAGATATTTCGGCTTAGAGTAACAATTCTGAAAGTGTACCATCATGGAAAATATTCAATATCTTTTTTTGAAAAAAATTTGGGATTGTAAACCATTTCCCCTCACAGTAACAATACAAACGTCAGCTTGTTGTTAACAAAACATCCATACTATTCCTATTGACATGGTTTGAATGCTGCATTTTGATTGTTTATATTCAATTTATAAACAGGCAATGTATGAGAACTAAGGTTGCAAATCCATAAGAAAAAGTTAATCTTGGAAAGATTTTTTTTATTTTGTATCTCCTAAGCGTTTTACACTTTTGGGATCCATAACGTTCTGTTTCGAGGGTATCTAATGGCGGGCGGATATATCAGAAACATTCGTTGATCACACTTTAATCAAGTAATACGTTTATTTGAAAGCAACGGATGATACAGATTTGGTGTATGTTGAATCAGTGAGTTCAGACGAAAAGATTGTAAAATGATGATTTCCTTGTAAAAATTGTAAGAAGCAATAGAGGACATTTATGATATCGTTCTAACAATACCAAGAAAAAAACTTATCACAGAAGCAACTAATCTAATTGCGGAAGCTAAATCTACCACCCAATGCCGGAAAATCGAATAACAATAAGTTGCTAACATTTATAACGCACTTAGATTTCAAGAGACTAAACTAGAAAAAAAACTGTTACTTTATCCTCTTGATCAAAATTGTGGTGACATATGAAGAAACCACGAAATTCATTTCGCAATGAAACAACTGAATTCATTCATACCTTAACGTCTATTACACATGATTCTATGTAATCTGATAAAACTAAATGGCCATACATCTGACATAAGGCAAGAGCAGGCATCTCTGAAAGTCCATTGGTACACTCTTGCCTTGCTGATTCTTCTGACCATCCATTTCTCCATACAGGATCCTGAATATGATATACTTAATTAAAAATCACTAGGTCGTCATAAGATAACAATGATATCAAATAACAGATATTACGTATGACTTGTGCAGAAGAAATATGTACTTCTGAATATATATCAACAAAGCAAACATCTGCAACGGAAAAATATAATATATTCGAAGCCAAATTTACAAATCTTTATAAATACCCCCACAACGACTACAAAAGCCCAAAAGGATTTTGAAAACCGAAAAAAGTTCACTTTTATAACGCGTTAAAAAGATTACTTATACCTAAATTTTTTCGGAAGGAGTCATCTGCAATTATGGATCAATTGTCTTGGTTTTTTAAAAATATATTTACCATGTGTTTACGCAATTAACTTTTGTTTAGCATAATTAATTTTTAACATACATTTTCTCTCAACTTGTCAAACGGCATTTGTCATAGAAATGTAAACTTAATTATGTAAAATCAAAAAATCAAAATTTGTTTCACTGCCCTTTCGGACAAATCTGGCTTACAATCGAACGTCTTGCACCAAATACTGTAACTGTTGTTTTCGGGGTTTAGATATCCTGAATCTTAGCTTCAGTTTGCATAACCCTATATGATGAATGACCCTAATGAAGTTTTCGTGACCATGTCTTGCATGCAGTTTCTTTTAAAATTGTTTATTAAATAGAAATTTTTAAACTAAATTCTACCTCGTGTAATTTTACTCGTGCAAACGTCAGTCGTGCAAACGAAATTTGAGTGCAATCATTTTTTTAATTAGTGAATGATATAAATTATGTCAATCAAAGAAACTCGGATGTTAGGCAAATTTGTCTGAAATGGCACTGAAAACACTGACATTTCTTGCCCTCTCACGATTATACATAAGTTTGTTTTAAATCTTATTTGAAGATATTTTCGTTTGGAATAAACATGATAAAGATAATAAACTGTTAACACAGAGATACGTCTCGCCTTTTTGTTTTTTTAATAGTAAAATGCAAATGTTGAAATTAAAATAGCAATACCATAACATGTTATTAATGCAAACTATTCAAAGTTAATAAACCATGACTGAAGGTACAGGGCCAATCAATCTCGATGGAAATGAAATGTACCAATGCTTATACAGTACAACTGCATACCAAATATCATTGACCTACCACTAGTGGTTCCCTATAAACTGGCCTAATCACAAACTAATAAATGTTAACTAAGCAAAAGTTTCAAAGTCAATAGACCATTGCTGAGTGGGCGGGGCCGAATAATCTCCATGGAAATGAGATGTCCTAATGATAATAAACTGCATACCAAATACAATTGAACTACCACTAGGGGATCCCCATAAACTGACCTAATCACAAACTTATACATTGATGACGCCGCCGCCGACGTTGTCGGCATCAGCATACTTATTTCTCGCTTTTTGACTCCGTCAAGGCGAGACAAAAAGTGTCCAGATGAATGTTACAGTCGAATATTCGAGATAATGCAACACGTGTTGACGACCATTGTCGTTCAACGTTAGACTTTTGTTCCAAGTGACGAAGTTGAAATCAGCCCTTCAAAAAATTTAACGGACACCATCACGAGTTGGTTGACCGTTAAGGAATATATGTTACTCAGATGACGATGGATATGTGACAATCATTGTAACCACAATCCCGTCCTCCTTTTCCCTGAATGTGAACATCCGAATCAGACTTATCACCGGGTTTGCACTTATATGAGCAATACGACGGATGCACCATGTGGAGCAGGATCTGCTTACCCTTCCATAGTACATGAGATCACATCCGGTTTTTGGTGGGATTCGTGTTGTACAGTCTTTTGTTTTCTATAGATATAGGAAGATGTGGTATGAGTGCCAATGAGACAACTCTCCATCCAAGTAACAATTTATAAAAGTAAACCATTATAGGTCAAGGTACGGCCTTCAACACGGAGCCTTGGCTCACACCGAACAGCAAACTATAAAGGGCCCCAAAAATTACTAGTGTAAAACCATTCAAACGGGAATGTTCTGTTTTGTATACTAATTTTGTCTTTTGGTCTTTTTTTTTGCCATGAGGTTTTCGACTTTGAGTTTGAATGACCCTTTGGTATCTTTTGTCTCTCTTTTTCTAGTCAGCGATATATATCTTAGTTTTGGTTTGTTAACTTGAATTGTAATTTCTTAATCGATTTGTGAGATATTAACATTGGTAAATACTGTCCCCTTATTTAGTAAGTGTGGTTATGTAACAAAGAGATTTCGTCAAAAATAATTTACGAACATGTTTGCGATAACATCATCTTCGTTTATCATTCTGTCCTGCTGACCATACAGAATAGGAAACAGAGGTATTTAATTTAATTACGTTAATAAACAGAACCATCGTTAAACTTTTCTACTCAAGATAAACGGTCATGCTTGTTAATAAAAAAAAGAAATGAAGATAATTATGTTTTATGGGATAGCTAGAATTAATCTCTTGTCGTTGTTTTATGAATTACACACCTAATTATGTCCTCCGACAAATACTATCATTAATAGTACAAGTCTTGTTTGGAATATTTGATGATTATATATTATTGTTAGTCTCTTGACTGATTCTGCTTCTGCAACTAAACTCGACTAATTGCAATTCATACTTTTACATACAGTATGAACACTGAACTCAGATATGTATAACTATTATGTGATCACTAAATAAACATTGTAGGAGGAAGGTATTTTTGAGTAAGTTAAGCAACAAACTTTGGATGTACATAAATTAGGTCATACCCAACTATATCAGTCCTATTCAGGACCGATAACTCTGTCGATAAATATTGTCGGGTATACAATGTTGTTGAAATCAGAGCAATTGTCTATATGTCTCTGTTGAAATGTATACAATAACAAATTTTTTTACACAAGTTTAACTTTATATCGATTTATTGAATGCCTGGATTTTGCTTAAAATATTGAATTAAAAAAATAGATAATAAAATCATATTCAATGAAATCTCGTTTAATTTTTTACGAAATAATACAAAATCCATTTAAATTAAAATTTGAATCAAAATATTTCTTTAAAATAATTATAGAAACATAAATATTAGTTTGATTATCTTTTAAAGCAAAAATTATTTTTTTAAAGATTTTTTTTTATAATATTCATATTTTCTTAAAGTTTATTATGATACATACTTCTTCTGGTTTGACACGGGGAAGAGAAGATATTTATTTGTACAGTTATGAAAACTTTTGTTTATCACAAAATTTACACTCTGGTAATACATGTATACACAGGATGTTTAATGTCACCTGGTTGCTTTTGGTTTGCACGTCTACCTGACAATATATTGTTATGTAACATTACATCCAAAGTCAGAGTTCACCTGTTCGTCAAGTGATGGGATTTTGAAGGTATGGAATATTTATCTATAATAATTGTTAGGATTTTTTTCTCTCTTGGGACGTAAATATTTTTTTGTTCTAAAAGGAATGTATAAATATATTTCTAAAGAAAGATAAATTATACAGAAAACAGGAAAAAAACCTTTTAAAAAAAGAAGAGAAAAAATTTTATTATAAATTTTATTTTTAACTATTTCCTGGTAACAGTATATCCTGGATATCTGTCAAAATAAAATGTTCCCGTGTCACACTTAAAATAATTTTTTTTTATCAAGAAATTTTGAAATCAATCATATCGAAATATCACCAAAGAAAATAACAGAAACATCAGAGATTCTACATGAAAAATTAAATTTAATCAAGGAAAGTGTTACTATACAAATCCTCGATTTGATGCAACATTTCCATATACATCATCCGCCATTTTGAAAAATCCTGAAATATTCACTTTTTTAATTCTATTTTTGACAGAAATTGCCCAGAAATTAAACTGTTTTAAATAGTATTTTTCGCCAGATTTATGTTTGAATATACTTAATCGATTTGCAAAGTTTTATATTTATTAACGGAATTTCTTTATTTTTTATACAAGTAGACATGGGTATCGGTACATTTAGCATTGAGTCAACGGAGAAATAACGAGAAAAAGTACATGTTTTTACGATTCTCCAGTGACAGAATTTAATCAAAAATTAAACTGTTAGGACCAACATTGTTTGATAGATTAAGGCTTGATTTGCAAAAGTTAGAAAACGGGTCGGGTTAATGAGAAAACTTAACTTTATTGAAGCACCTATGCATTTTATATGGGGCAATATAATACAAAATGGCGGCTAGTATACGTCACAAAAGTCACGTGATGTCTGACTTAGTTGGATATATTTCAGTGTGTGTGTGTGTATCGAAATATTTCGACAAAAAACAAATAAAAAAGACAATTATATCAGCCGATGTATTTTAGTGATATGACAAATTATGTGCTGGAAAAAAAGTCCTTGAATAATCTTTCAAATTTGAAAATTTGTAAGACACAACGGAGAAAAACCAAGGATTATCCAAAATATGTAGAAAATAAGCCTTATTTGGTTCTACTAGCTGTTTAAGCTTTTGCTCGATTTTTAAGGATCGAAATTCGTCCTTAATATTTTGGTTTCAAGCTTCACGGAATAGTGAATTGAAATTAACCATAAATGTTATTTTAATACATCCATTTAACACAAAGCTAAATCATACAACTTTCGAAAGCATATCATCTGTACTATCTTTTTTCCCCAGTCGTAAACTATTCGTATGTTTCAATTTCCGTCAAATCAAGATCAGATGTCAAAAACGGTCAATTTGTTTTCAAGAAGTTAGCACAATACCATATACTGTATTCGGAATAACAGAATAAAGTATAAAAACAAAGAAAAATTTTAGTAACATCAAAGCGCCATATGATTTCACAATGTTGTCACATAATTCGAATATTTAATATTGTTTCTATTTATACAATGTACTTACTGGTGGTAAATAATCTGGATTGTAATTTGCATCATATGTCAGTGTGTTCTCTTCCACTATATCATCACTATCTAAAGCATTTTTTTTTACGATTTTTTTATCATGAAGTGCCATATCTAAAGTGTCTCGTTTTCGCCTAGTTGTATGACATTCTTGGTACAACCTGTCTGCTATTGGTGTTCGTGTGTTTTTGCATTGTATCATTGGCGTTGTTAGATTACACTGAACACTCGTAAAATCGTTAATATCGTCGGTATGACCGGCTTCACTGGCGCATATACAATATTCTTTTAAAAACAAATCTTCTGAAGAAAACCTTGGAAACGGTGAAAATAATTCCTCATCAGAATTTTGAGCGACTCTGGAAGAATTAAATAAGTTGGTTATAAAAAATTGAAATGTTGAAATGAGTTAGAAAAAAGTAAACTAACAAAAAAACGAACTCCAAGGAAAATTCAAAAACATAAAGTCCTTCATCAAATGGCAAAATCAAAAGCTCAAACACATCAAACAAATAGAAAACAACTGTCATATTCCTGACTTGGTACAGGCATTTCCTTATGTAGAAAATGGTGGATTAAACCTGTTTTTATAGCTAGCAATTTTGACTTCATAAATCAAAGGCTAAATAAACTGCACTTACATAACAATCTGCTTTTTTTCTACAACTAATCATGTAATTAATATTTAAAAGAAGATAATACTAGAATAGTTTCAACTAAGCTTTATAAAAAATACTTAAATTAAAAAACTTTGCTAAAAACCAATCACAGATGAGAAAATATGTTTTTCATTCAAAATACTAACGACATCAGAATAACCTTCGTCTAAAATGAAATGTCTATAAAATCGGTATAAACAATTTGTTTTTCTAATCGAGGGGTTTGCGTACTGTATATAGATGTATTTAAGTATTTTTGCTATATTTAAAATCTCTTGTTGTATATAGGCTATGAAGCTTCGTGGCTTAAGCGCTGAACATATAATTAAAATCAACACAAAAATCCGTTTTTTGCCTTTATTGGAATAATTTAATGAAGAATTTTTCATGAAGTTTAAAAGAGTGCAAATCTTTGATTTTAAGATTGATAAGTGTTATCAAATTCAATCTGTGTCCTTCGGTGTTGCCTCCGTCCTTCTAACTATATAACGTGGGAAGCTTTAATTAAAAGTACATGCGAGATTGTCACCATAATAAAAAGACAAAATACATATTAATTGATGCATACAATCATATATCAGGGAAAAAAAAGACAGAAGGATTAAGGTTTACATAGTGAAAAAACATTAAAACCAAATGGAAACATAACACAACTGAATTTTGAACAAAATGACAAAGTACATGATTGTTTGAATTTTTAATGACTTGGAAGTATTAATTCAGTGCGTCATGTTTGTTTTTCGTTAACTGTTTTTTTTTTTATATAAATCAGGCCGTCGGTTTTCTCGTTCGAATTAATATTGTTTCACATTTTGTCAAGTCGAGGCCTTTTATAGGTACCTATGTGGTATGGGTTTTGCTTATTGTTGAAGGTCGTATGTCATTTGGACTCTGGTGGATAGTTGTCTCGTTGTGAGCACACCAGATCTTCTTATTTACCATCAAATATTTGATCAATTTTACTTTAAATATAAAATAATGCCTAGAATAGATTGTTACCACGAGGCTGTTTCACAAATATGAAAATACTTTTCATCGAAACTTGGTGCGTGGTCTACTAAAAAATAGGGAGACATAACAACCGATAGAACACCAGAGTAGGTGTTTTACATAATGCTCGTCGTTTATAAAAGAGAAAGATGACACCAAGGGGGCATTCAAGAATCATAATTCCAATAAAAAAGACAATAACATGGCCACAAATTAAAAGAAACTTGACAAGATATTGATTTCAGTATGTATAACATGACCACATATGATTTACTTCGAGTAACAATAGGTACTTTTTTATGTACCATTTAAGTATTATATATATTGTATGCATATTAAATATGGTTACATACCGCCATGAATTTACAAAATCTGTAGTTGATGATATTGAAGTATTTGATCCTCTTGGTACCAGATCGTCTGATGAATCTTTTGTTTGGCTTACAAATCCACAGATACCCTCACTTTGTTCAATATCTAATGCAGAAGGTTTGAGTGTAATTGTTGGAATCCAGCTACCACTCACGTGAATACTAATTTCTGTGCCTATGGGGAGCGTGACCTTTTACAAACATAGAATTTATTGATTAATGGAATAACATGAATGAATTTGTTGATTTAGTAAAAAAACAAGGTTATTGTTCAAGATAATTTTACGAATCACAATCTAATGCGGTTTTACTATTTTTTCACTGTTTTGTCGGGTTTTATTATTTGGAAAACTAAAACTACAAATTGAAAGGATGAATATATGATAAATCCAAAACTTAGCAACAGTCACTCAACCAATCATTGTATGCCTGCTTTTTCATTCTCCAAAACCTAAATCTCTTTATTTCAAAATTTGTTTTTTAATTCTTAATTATTTCTACTACTGTTTGTGTAAAAACTTAAATTTTTAGGAATTCTTTAACAATGAATAAGCAATGATTAACATAATGACGAAAAAATATATAGGTATTGCTATACAGTTGTTACGGTCCAACATACTGTCAATATTTAGATTTTGGTAATGCACAAGGTCATATTTTTTCTCGGATGTCATAACATTAAATCCATTAGATGTGTACAGATTAATATTTCAGTCTGGGAAGCATGATTTATTAGTAGTTGTTATTTGCCTGAATTTGGCAATAGTGGTTTACCGATGTTCAAATCTTATAAATGGATTTGGAAGATAAACATCAAGGTAACAAACAAAAACTGAGGGAATTGCATTAACTACTAATGGAGCAAGACCGACTGCGTTCACAAGGTAAGCGTTTCCTGCTATGCATGCGTCACCCACCATGCGAATGAACGCTAAAACAAAATTTCATAAGTTGGGAATAAGAAACAATTGGAAAAACTACACATCGTACGACTTTTTTGTTTCTTGTATCAACGAATTTAAGACCGAGAAAACATGTAGCTAGTGAGTTGAGAAACCTATTCGTGATGATGACCGTAAAACTTATGTAGAGTCGATTATTCAGTCTTCCTTCCTAATAACTTTGTTGAAGGAGGTTTTTATGCTAGGAGCACACTCCTGTTACTGTGACTTGACTGTTAGTGTTGCTCTCCACCTAATGCAACTTATTCAAAGTTCTGACCAAATTGCAATTGTTTTATAAAACCAAACTGTTCAACTGGTCAGAAATTTGAACAAACTGCTGTAGAAAACCACAGTCAAGTCGTGAAAGTGCAAGGTGATAAAATAAAGCATACTTACAATCCTATCAGACTTTAATTCCACTTCAATGTTATTATGAAAAATCAGTCTAACAGTTTGTATAGAAATTTTATTGTTATTGTCATACTAAAGGTGATGGATAGAAATTTTGAATTGCTATAAAAATGTCCAGACTAAGCTTTCATACAATTTTTCTTTCGAAAAGTCTTTTATATTCAAAAGAATCAGACATCATTTGAATTAAAACATCTTATATTCAGTAAAATATATGTGAAATTACAATACGTTGTTTATAAGTTTTCATGGGAGATAACCTAAAACATTATTCTTTTGAATATAGAAGACTTTTCGAAAGAAAAATTGATTATCTCCCATGGAAACTTCCTAACAACGTATTGTAATTTTGTAAATTGTAAGACCTCATTGACAGTCAGAGAGAATCACGAGCATGTAAAATGCCAAAATAATAGTATCCAGAGAATGTATGACCATAAATGTTCATAAGTGTATAGCAATAATATTTTGTTGTATTCAAATTCATTGATAACAATTTTAATATTTATACCGACAAAAACAATACTCGAAGATATATTTCCAGTTTTAAACCAGTTACCTTTTAGAATAGAATTATTTAAACAATACTTTACATATATCCTCAACAATTCTTTTATGTAATACATTATCACGTGGCGTGCAATAACTGTGTCTATTTGCAAGTGCAAGGAATGAAGAAAAAACTTTATTATTAATCAAAATTGTGCGATGAATACTCCGAGACACTTTATTTATACATGAATTATCTCCCATCAAAATTGCACCAATGTCGTATGTAAACAAAATACCAACGTCAAGGTTTGGTAATTCGTCGAGTGCCGAAGAATCCAGGTTTGGAAATTCATCGTGTACTTTAATTTTTTTGTTATATATATGTTGAAATCTTAGACACAAAATAATTCTCTGACGTAAGTGTTTGACAATCTTTCGTGTGTGCCTACTACAGTAAGACCCGTTCTTCTTAACAATGTATCTCTAAGTTCATGATAATAAAATCATTCTAGCCCTTAAAAGTGTTCAATTTCCATTATTGCCAACCCTGAACAAATACTTCCATGTTGGATGAGCGCTTAGGAAATAACCTTTACGGATTGACAATTTTTTTCTGGAATGTTTTATATTCACTTTTTTACGGGCCATGATTGTATATTGTTGATTTATTTTATATCAGTTCTTGTTTGAAAAATATACACACTTTTTAACCTGACCAATTGTTTGAGAGTGATTCTTGTACAGATTGACTATTAATTACACATTGAATAAAAATAATCTGAACAAACCTTATAACCATTTGACGTTTTTTCAATGACCATGTGTTTATTATCACAAACGGCATATGAAATACTTGGATAATATCTTCCTGATGCATAAAACTCTGTTGCGATAACATCACACGTACGGATTACAAATAGAGAGTCGTGACTTCGAACTGCAATTCCACAGTTGCAGGATCCTCTCGCGCAGCTTGTTGTTAAAGTGTGTACCTGAAATATTTTGTTTCATTAACTGTTTCATGTTGAAATATATTGTTATTAGCCAATCAAATCATCCTTTGGTCAGTGAAGACATTTATTTGGATCTGATTATATTTAATATTTTTATCACCTGAAATCAATGGAACCTATTCAATCAAACCTAAATGATGACATAAGTTATCAAATTTCCATGTTTACCCAAATTTTAAAACTCCGTTCCCTTTCCGTTTGACGTAGACGTATATCCTCATCCTCAAAAAAAGTTGTAATTGAAAACTCATCCATTGTGAAATGTCTCGAGAGACTTATTTTTGCAGCAGTGCTCTTGTTTTTATGTCGTTTCAATAAACTAGATTTTATACTTAGTGAGAAATTTATCAGATGATACCGCTAATAAAAGGTTTCTTTTCTGCTGAAAGAGAAAATGGACAGACGATGAGGAATAATGCAAGAAAAGCCCTACTCTAGCCCTTTGAATACTAATGTGTACGATCTATAAATGGAAGTAAAGATAAACTAGACATTTTGTTGTCTGTCTATTATTTGTTTTAAACAAGAATATGGGTCCGTAAGAAACCGTGCTTACTTACACTATCGGGGTGAAATCGTGACATATAATTTGATAAGTTCTTCTTCAAAGCGTCATTGTATACTACTTTAACCTGGTACGGGACGGACGTACGGACATACCAGTAAAATAATTTCACCTACATGTACTACCGTAGGCGACCTTAAAAATGCAACAGCTTCAAACGAGGTTTTCCTCCGATTGGAATATACATATGGGTAAGATACTCATCTTACGAAAAATACTGTGGTCCATGTAGTTTTCAAATGTTGTCTGCAGCCGAAACAAATCAAAATTAATCTTCTTCCGTATGCATATTAGGACAAATAAAATATACGCGATTGTTACGACATATCTAAATAGTGATATAAAAACTAAAGGCTCTAAAGAGCCTGTGTCGCTCAACTTGGTCTATGTGCATATTCAACAAAGGACACACTCCAACATTGTAGACGAGAATAGAATTCATGACAAGTATCTCTGTTTTGTTAACGTTGATCTTGTATTGCTGAGCATTTAGACTATTTAGTTTCTCTCTATCTTCTTTAGTTTTTACTCAAAACACAAAAGAGGGTAAAAAAATCCTCATTTAAGGGCAATCGCTCCTATTAAGAGTGACAGTCTACTAACTATATCGGCAAAATTTGACTTGTAAGTACGTACATCTTGCTTTACTGATAATTTTTGTGATTTATAGTGTCTATTTATCTATTATAATTTTAATCATATAAGGCAAAACGCAAAGAAAAAAAATTGGTTAAAGTCGTCATAAAAGGGCAATAACTCTAATAAGAAGTCAACTGACGATTTCAACCATGGGATTTAGTTTAAGAACTTGTCTTGCTGATCATTTTTGCAATTCAAAGTTTCTCTCTATCTATTTTAGTGTTCAAGATAATAGGCAAACATGGAAAAAATGGTAAAATTTGTCATTTAAGGGCAATAACTCCTATAAGAAGTCGTCTGGCTGTTTTGAAGTATATGAAAAATTGGTATAGCTTAATATTCTGGACATTTTTGCTCATGTCAGATTTTTCTCCAGTTGTAACGGTTTTCATAATAATAGACAAAACTTGCATTTTACCCCTATGTTCTATTTTTAGCCATGTCGGCCATCTTGGTTGGCAAGCGGGGTCATCGGACATATTTTTTGAACTAGAAACCTTAATGATGATTGTGGCCAAGTTTTTCTAAATTTGGCTCAGTAGTTTCAGAGGAGAAGATTTTTGTAAAAGTTAACAGACGACGACGGACAACGGACGCCAAGTGATGAGAAAAGCTCACTTGGCCTTTTAGGCCAGGTGAGCTAAAAATGAGAATATTTGGTAAGCTGACCGAGTTTTATCTAATCTTTATCTGTAGTTCATTATCGCTCAGCGAGGTCATGCTAAAATAAGGCAAAGAGAGAATGCACTCAATTGTAATTGTCGACAACACGTTCGTAAATTGTCAAAACATTGCAACATAGCTAATGCTTCGCGGAGTGACTTTTGATATGTCATTCCCAAACAGAGAATCTCATAGTTTAAAAGTCCAATCACTTTGAGACAGTTGTTAAGTTTATCGATTTTTGTCATTTCTATTTTTCTGTAAAAAACTCCATTTGCATGTCTGAATACAAACACCTCCCATTTTTATACTTATTTCATAAAGTAAAAGAATTTAAAGAAAGCTAATCTTAATAAAAACAAGCAAACAATTATATTGTATCATGAAAAATGTAATAATTATGTATTATGTTTTGATTTAGATAAAACAAATATAATTTTCAAAAAGGCCGACGAGCCCGTGTTTTCCTGCATTAACTATTGATGTGTACTCACCCAATAGGGATACTTTTTATGTCTGTACAAAATAAATTCCCCTGAGCCATAATGCCAGAATCTGTGGCCATCAGCAGTTCGATATATCGGGTCATTCCATGTACCACAGGTGCGAGATGTCACCGCAGAGTCATGATCAGACACTACCACCTAAATCAAAGGGAGTATAGTAAATGATTTCAAATATATGCAGACCATCAAATACCATGTTTTGTCTGAGTCGAACTGCCTTTATATATGTACTCAATACTTGTATGTTGAATTTGTAGTGTTATAACTCAAACAATAATTGATTGACCTCAAGAGCTCTATACAATAAAGCCCATTTTGCATTTCATTCAATAGTTTCAAGTCATTTGGCTTATATTACTAACTATCTGAGATTTCAAAGTTAGGTAGCGACAGTTATTCAAAATAAATGTACTGCAAAGCATGACGGACTTGATATGCTCCCTTCGGAGATCATAAATGACAAAAGGGTTGATTTGGGTCTATACTTCTATACCATTGTCCAACCGGTCGTTCACGAATCACTAGCATGTTCGCGTGAGTAGGTTGAGCTCAGCGTAATACTGAGTAGTCTGCATTATCAAAGCGCTTTAGGAAAGGAATATTTGCTGAACAATCGGACGTAAAAAATTGATTGACGCGAGTCTTCTTTAAAAAAAAATGTGGAATGAAGACTTTCAAGAATTCAAGACATTTTATCTACTGTTCTTGCTATACATGATAGATACATTGAGATTATTTTTACAATATAGTATGTTTTGAAATTGACATTCTATATAATAAAAAGAATGATGTTGTGTTTAGCATTGGTTACAAAGTGCACTCCATTTCGGGTCATGCATTATTTATTCAACATTGGCTACTAATTGCAAATAGCAGGAGTCGAGTTCTTTATATTAAGCCTTGGTTACTATTTTTGCATAGTAAGAACAAAAAATAATAGAGATATGGTCGTGTTTAGGTGTTTTTTTATTCAAATTTATTAAACCTTAGTATGGGTTTTTTTTTTGTATAAAAAAGAATAAAATATTTGTACTATTTCATTTAACAATCAATTGCCAGTCGATGGTTTCAAAGTTTATTAACCACCAGTCAATAGTTTCAAAGGCTAATTAACCGGTAAATTGATTTGAATTTCCTAAATTTGTTCATACTTCTTTTTCATTGGGCAAAAGGACGTCATTGAATATTTGCGTTGCTTGGCCTAGGCTTTTTTTTTTTGCATGGTTAGGTAAAATACTTAGATAACTGATAAATGCAAGCGTCTGTCGTTGTCATTTTCTAGTATTTTTTCAAATAAATAAATTACTAAGCAGGAAAACGTTTAAAATAAGAAGAAAATCTACATGAAAAATGGCATTTTTATAGAAATAAAACATAACAAATGTATGACATAGATCTGTCGTCGCCTTCTTCATCCGTGAATACTTTGATAATATATTATAAGTTACCGGTAATCATATGCCTTGTCATTTTAACATAAGGATCCCTGCTATTGATTACTGTAAATTTGATACTAATAAATATCACAAGGAAAAAATGTCTTGTCATAATCATATGTGCATGTATAAGTGATTATTTTTTTTCAGATAGTATACTAGTATTTGGATTTTTTAGATAGTGTTTTCCGGTATAATACATGTTTTGTAAAACACTTAATGACTGGTTATGAGGATTATATCAAGTTTGTTGTCTCTTTGATACCAACTACTGTGCTCGCTTTCGTCTCGTGAAATATTTAATATCTCAGGAACAACAAACTTGCTTTTATCAATTAGTCAATAAGTGTATCATATTACCTGAATATCTGGTATATTAACTGTGTTCCAAACACCTGAGAGATCTGTTACGCTGTTTGCTCCTGTTTTAATTCGAATGTTTCCCGTCCTATCAAATGAATTGTAAACATTGTCAACGTATCCAGTAACATTTAAATAAACAGGATCGTTCCAGCTCGTCGTGGAAAATGTTACCCCACAATCCTGTGTTTCAAAGGCTAATGACTGCGGTTCGATGTTTGTTGTGCATGTTTCCTCTGGATTATTTTGATATTCTGGCTGCGATACTTTCAGAGTGTGAGTGCACTGTTTCTTGATAACATCCGATGATCCAATGCAGCCGACGGGAACTGAGGACCTAAATGGAATTGCTATTTCTTGTCCTTCTTCTATCTGATAATTGTAACTTTCAGGCTGAAACATATTTAAATATGCTATTTTTCACATTGTAAAATATTTTTTAAAATGATTTTTTATAGCAAGGGTTGGTAATGATAAGTTTGGATAAAAAAGACTGAAACTTTGTAGAGTTTTTAAATGAGGGATTGGTTCGTTAGATAATATATATTTCTTTTTCTTTTTAAGAACACCCCGTTAGTCCCTTGATAGCGTGCTCTTCTCGAATGTGAGAGGTCTTGGGTTCGATCACAAGCCATATCGAAAAAAAACTTAAAACTTGGTATATGCTGCTTTCCCCGCTGACCATTCGGTATTTAGGAATAAAAAAATAAATTGTCAGGTTAGGGTGACATGTCTTCCTATGGACTGTGATCTTGTGAACTACCACCTGAAAAATCCGGTTTTTGAGACAATTTTGCATATACAGGAAATAATTTCAGACCCGTGCTTAATGCACGTTTGGTGTCTTATTCTTATATACTGAGTGCCAATAATAATGCAACCTATGTATGTATTAGGTATAAGTTAATAAAAATTGGAACTGGCAGATCTTCTTAATTAGAAATCGACTCTGCTAAAATTTGAAGTACATTGTATAATATTACTACAGAACATTTCCAGCTATTTTCAGGGCTTTTTCAATTGTCTTAATTTAACATATTAAACGGTAAAAAATTCTTAAAATTTCTAAAAATTTCAAAAAATTTCTGAAAAAAAATTGATTTAAGCCTTTGGATGATATTCCTTCATAATGGGACCTAATGTATAACAAAGGTTATCAAACAGGAAATGGAGATTACAGATTTTCATTTGGTCCTGTCTAATCACAATTGGCTGAACATTTTTTTTCAAAAGAGTTTTGATTTTGAATCCTATGGGATTTATTCCAAAAGGGACTTGGAATTGTGCACTCAGTATATTGTTTAAAAGAGAGAGGTATGTTGTTGAGAGAGATGGAGAGAGAGAGAAGTTAGAATAAAACCTAACCTACATAATAAGGTAAATAAACATTTTTAAAGAAATGATTTTAGTGTGTAAATATGTTTAGAATTAGGGTTCTGTAGAAGGAGTAACTTTACTTTCGTATACAATTACAAAGCTTTATGAGTGCCTTTGTTTTTTTTTTAAATGAAACAGTGTGTTAGATTTTAAAACATTTTGTCTGAGTACTAGTTCATTTTGTATGAACCTTCTCCTTTCATCTTTTTAAGTCAGGAAAACGAAAATATAGCCATAGCCGTCTCCGATATCTTCATTATTACATATAAAACACCTTTGTTCATTTCAGTCAATATTATACCACCTCCCCTTTTTTTATTGCCAGTGCATGATTCGAAGTTCGGAATTTACAAAGTGTATATTTATCTAAGTCATTGCTAGTATTGAAAATTTTTAGGATTGTTCTATAAACACGAATTCCAAATTTGTTTAAACTGGTCATTTTTTTTTTAAATCAAGTGTGTTACATATCAAGGCATGGTGTAGTACTTTTTACTGCACGCGTCCCAATAATAAGAATTCTTGTAATATTTGATAGATGTTTAATAGAGCATGGAAAAACGAACCATATAAATTACTAGTAGTTAAATCTCACCGTGAGAACAACAATACAAAATCTGTATGCCTAGCTTTTTTTTTTATCTAATTGTTATTTCAATTAAACTCTTAAACTTGGTATTTTTTTTATCATCATTTTATTTGACAAAATTGCAAATTTTAGCACGAATTGCTTCAAGCAATACACAAAACTTAAAAGAGCCTACAGATAAAGTCAAAACCATTTACAATAGAAAGTTATGATTGAAGTGAAATCCTATGATATTGGCAAGACAACGTTAACATTAAAAAACTCGAGTAACATATTCAAGAGATAGAAAAACTAATTAAAGACTGTCACATTTTCAGATTTAAAACATATGACAATGAATATAATTATGTAAAAGTTAATTCTCCCCGGAAGTAAAAGTTGTCCCCCAGACGCCTAGATAATCAAGTCCATGACCATAATTTTAGCAGCCTGCAAAATATTCATGACATGACTTGCGTTCGGTAAGTGTAGTAAGAAAAAAGTAAAATAACAAAAATACCGAACTCTAAGGAAAATTCAAAACAAAAAGTCCCTTATAAAATGGCAAGGTCAAAAGATCCAACACATCGAACGAATGGAAAACAATTGTCATATTCCTGACTTGCTACAGACATTTCCTTGTTTAGAAAATTGTGGATTACCGCTAGCTAGCTAAACCTCTCACTTGTATGACAGTTGCATAAAATTCCTTTATATTGACAACAATGTGTGAACAAAACAAACAGACAAAATAGGTAAAAAAAGTCAAAAATTGGGCTACAGCAGTCATCAGTGTGTTATAATCCTAATCACTATAAAAACAAACAACTATGTCAACAAAGAAAAACAAAATGGCATATAGACAGAGCATATATGCAAAAATGAAAGAAAAGAATACAAAAAATGACCATAGCACAATGACACAATGGCGGGATGCATACATGTAAATACCGAGCCACACCAAAAGGATATTACCACAATGGAATAAACTGTGAAGGTTAATAATATACCAAAACAAATAAAAGAACACTATAACACGTAATTAAGACGAATAACTTTATAAAGTTGATACGGTATATTTATCAACAAGGTCTTGGTAACGTCCGATGAACTTTTTTTAGAAAAAGGACGAGACGTTCTTTGACATAACACTGGTTCATCATTTTTCTACTCAAACACTGCTGACGTTTTATAAAGTCTAAGTAGCTGCTGCAAGCTCTTGAATACCGAATGAGTTGGGAAATGTATATGCAGATGATGAAGTTGGTACATTGCTGCTTAGGTGGGGGAAATTGATAATTTCAAAATTAAAATCGTCTCGTTTGTCATAGGGTCTTGTACTGAGATGACCGCTTTTTTCGAATTCAGTGCATAAGTCTAAAAATGAAACGGAGAAAGCCGTGTCTGTTGTTTCTTTAATTTCTAGTTCTTGAGGATATATTAATGGAACCCAATCAGAAAACTTTGGATTGTTAATGGAAAGAACATCATCAGTATATCTGAATGTGAAATTAACTGATCCGACTCATATGTAGACAAGAAGAGGCCGGCAACGAGAGGCGCACAGTTCGTTCCCAGTTCCCATAGGAATGCCGACAATTTGTTGAAAAAGTCTACCTCCAAATTCAGCAAATATGTTGTCAATGAAAAACTCGAGCACACTGATGATCACATGTTCCTCGGTGAAGCATGTTTTACCTTTTTATTCATTATTAACAAAATATGCCGTATGGTATCTCAAAGCAATAGATTTATAGCTTATGCTACCATTTTTATATAGAAAAGAATTGTGGATTATTTCTTTTAGAGGATTTTTCCATTTGACTTGGGGAATGGTGGTATAATGTGTTGAAAAATCAAAGGTTTTGATAGAATTGATTTCAGAGAAAGATTGAGATTTAAGATTATTCAGAAGTTCTTTAGGGTTTTTTAGAATCAACATATGGTTAATACCACTACGCGAGTAATCAGTTACACAGTTTCTGAAGACCCGCTTTTACTGCGGACTGTCAATGTAATGGACAATTCCTTTGTAGAACATGCAGATGAGCCGGCAAAGTACCGTTGTTTGTACGGAATTTTATGAAGCTTAGATATCCAATACAAACAAGGTAATTCCTCAGATATGCTGTTCAATGTAATGTTCATTGAAGCCATGAAGGACTTATGATTCGCCAAAATCTCATCCTTGCCCAATTTTAATGATAATGTTTTTGTATGAGGGATTACCTGAGTGCTCATTTATTCCTTATTCTTTTACAAGACACTCGTAATAGTACGATTAACATACAAAAACAATATTATTTGAAGCTTTGTTCGCAGGAAAAACAACATATTTATCGTGAAGAGATGATAAACATTTCACAGCTACTTCGTCTCTGAATTTGGACTTTGGTCGATCATTTACACAGTTTTTCAGCTTTTGGATTCGACGTTTTATCAGAGAATAGCTGATAGCTTTAATTCATTCTGACAAAGTGCCCAAATTGATTTCTTCTTGTTTAGCCCATGCTGTATCGATTATTATAATACAAAACGTTTTCTGTTTATAAATGCTATTTCCATCATTAAATGGGTGTCTTCCTCGAGGTTCGCGTTTACTTAACAATAATAAGAATAGAACGGTTACGTAAAACCGAGTAACACCAATATTTTTTTCTGTGAATTAAGAAAAGAATCTCAATTGGAAAAGCTAGCTTATTTTATTTAAACAAAAACAAAAAATAAAATCTGCACACATGCTTCTCGTGACCGGTAAAGACACATTCCATATTGAATACAACAGAGTTCTTTTTAAATTAACATGCTGAAGGGATTTTTTTTTTATTAAATTACTGTTTACAGAACTATACAGTATTTATACCTCAAACTCAAAATTACTACAAGTCTTATATGGGCCTTTTTAAAAAAAATGTCCATTTTTGACAACCGGAAAAGGAAAAACAAAATGTTGAGAAATAAGTGATTTCATTGTACATTTCAATACTTTAACATCAGTATAAACTAAATACAAAATATGCAACCTTAAACTGAACGGTAAGTTTGACAACAACTCTGTAAAAGTGAACATGGTGTACCAAAAGTTCCCCTTCGCAACGATGTTTTAAGGCTCTACCATGTTAAAAGATTAGTATTCAAAGGTATGTTTTTCTTCAAGAATCTGTTAAAATAAATGATTGTATACGGTTTAACTATTTGATTTGCAATTATAACTACTAGAAAATATTACAAGCCGTTTTTTTAAAGATTCACAAATGTCCACTGCGAACCTATATATGTCCCCCATGAAACGCTCTGTGTCCACTACGCAACGGATTGTGTCCACTTCGAAACGAAATGTTGGGTAGCGGACCGTTGCGCAGTGGACGTATTTACATATTAGCAGCCATTGTTGTTACACGCGGTCTCTCAGATACATGTTTTTATGATTATTGTGTTACATTTTATTTCATAAACTCCACACGTTTTTTTGTGATTTGAGGTCAACATTTCTTACAAAAAGACGTTGCAAAGTGGACAAGTAAAAAAGAACGATATCAATTGATCTTGCCAATTGATTAAATGCAGACGAACTATATCATCAGCATCCAAAGATAACAGTCATTTTATTAAATGAGGTTGTATTAGTGGCAAGTAAAAGGAAAGACTACAATCTAAATAAAAGAATTATTATAATTTTGCCAACTGTTTGTTGTCGTTGCGAAGTGGACATTTTTTCATGGACGCCACTTAAAAAGTAACTAGCACAAATCTATTTGAACTTATATAAATATTTGAATACTTTTAGTAATGTTCAGATGTAGCTCTATGACAAAACATTGAAAAAGGAGCAAAAAAGATTGGTAAATTGTATGAAATTTTGAAAATTTGAATAAACTTTCAAATGTGGATAGGGCGTTTTTGCTGTTTTTGAGCTTTTTGGTCTGATATTTTTAGAGAGTCCCTACCACAAGGCAGACAAAAAGTGTTTTCGTTGTCTTTAATAAGTACAATTTATAGACTGAGACAAAAACAAATATATATATATATATATATAATTTTATCACAGTTTAAGCCCTGGACAGAGAAAGTGGACATTTTTTTAAAACGCCCATATAGGACCGAGTTCTACCATATTTAACAGATCAGACAAAAGAGAAGTATTACACTTGTGAAAATAACATAAACACGAAAACTCTCATGATTATTTCAGCTTCACTCTAATGGTTTTTACTGCCATGTATAACACGAGGGTGAAAATACCAGAACAGGATCTACTTGTCCCTCTATGTACCTTAGTTTGATAATTTTGCTCAGTTTTGATTTTTCTGTATTATGTTTACCAGAATTGTGTTTATTTTGGGGATGGTGTCTCTCCATTTACAAATTATGGTTTTTGCCTAGATATCTTCGCTTCTTGTATAGTTGCTTTTTTAAGAAAAGGGGTTTAAATTTGCACTGCTTTAGCTCAAAGTAGTTTACCTTTACACCGGCTTCAAATAGCTCACTATAAAAATATGGCCCTGGAACAGAGTTTGCATCCAGTCTTGCACGAACAGCACATTTTACCTACAAAAGAATAATAGCCAAAATCTCATAACTATGTCCAATTGGTTCTCTAGCACATTTAAATAGTCAGTAAACTCATTTACAAGATCTTATGACAGGCACAGGAACATATGGCGATGTAATAATTATTGTAAGCAGCCGCCCCCTTTCTTTCGGCCAAAAAATATTTTTATGGGAAAACTTACAATCAAAAAAAAAAAGTACATACATCACTGAATTCTGTATACCATTAATAGCTGCATAGAAGACAACAAAAACACATGTGCATGGAAAATTCTACAAAGTCAAACCGTACAAAAGAATGCTTACTGACGCCAATTTTATAGTAAGTCTATTCGTGTATGGAGTGAAATGAAGTCTCAAGTTTGTTCTCCATATTAAGGAGTGAAACAACCAACCAATTTATTCACAGTCTTACTAAACTCGGAACGATAAATAACTTAATGCTCTGCATAAACATAACCTTCCCCTAACCCTTTGACAATTGTGAAACAGCACAAAACATTAACAAAATGTAAAAATCGGTTTAAAATGACCTATCTCATTAAATTAACACGACTAATGTCTTAGATTGCGGACGCATATTATTCCGAGAATGAAACCATTAAAGATAAAAACATCTAACCAAATATCAATATCTACAATTATATACTTATTCATAAACAAACTTCATTGGAAATCTCACAATATGTGCGTGATTGGGTAGACTAGAGACGATAAAGAGGTTGATGTATCAGATTCTTGCCTAGTGTTGCAGACCGTACTAATGAGTCGATTAGTTGCGGTCTCCTAGGTGTATACCCCGTTTTTTTATATATATATATATAAGTACACAATTATCAAGGCGACATGAATCACCTTCATACTGATTCTTGTATCCATAATACGTGTATCTCAAAAGAGTATACGTGTTTAAAAACGCTATTGACGAATTTATTAGTGTTGCATCTTACTAAAATCACTCGAGTAAAAGGGTATTTTGAAATGATTTTATCTGTACACTGTTTGAGCATATTTCTTTACGTTTATATTTTACATACCACCATATTTATTTGATAGTTCCCCACCCAGTCGTTTGGACGCAACAAAGCTTGACCGATGTTAGAGAACTCAAGCCGTCTGTGTGTAACTACAGACTGGTCATTTATAAACCAATACACATCATAAACATAATTTTGTCCAGAAACTTCAGCAAACGAGCATTTAAACACTGGCTCTAAGCTAGGTCCTAGAGCAGGATTCAAGATAGCACCTTCCGCTAATTCTGCTTGAACAAGCGATACAAATGTTTCAGGTGGTACGTCAGCTGAAAATATGAAAATAATAAAATACTTTGAGGTTTATTTTGAATAATAAATCATTGTGTCCTTTAAACCCAGAAAGCCACTAACTTTTTATACTTCATCTGCAAAACCCTTCCTTTTCTTATTGAAAACAAATTAGCAAATCACAAAATCCTTGACACACAACTTTTCTGGGCACCACCTCCCGTAAACACACACAACCAAAAGCCTCTTGCATCGCAACTTTTTTTAAATAGCAAAAACCTCTGATGAGATATTAGCATTATGGATATGGGGTTTTTGTAAATAATAATTAGGACACAAACAATTGGTGATGAAATATGGAGATATACTTACATGTAATAAGCGGACAGTTTTTTTTAACGACTTTTGTATTACATTCAAGTTATCACAAAGCAACTTAAGTACAGTGCCAATTTTTGAGATATAATTGAACTAACAGAATAATATTTAAAAACCATGTATGACTGAACTAATTATAAACGTAAATGATATTGTTAATCGTTACTTCAGTAATTTGAGACGATTGTGATATGTTCTGACATTTGAATAGTGTACATTTCCGAAATTTTACTGTATTGTATATATATTATTTGTACGTCTTAAATTCAGTCCATATTTATATCGTTTCTACAGAAAAACTGTTAGCCTTCTATACATGTATACTATTTATCGCGTATAACTGTTTTAAAAAGAGACCTCCATAAAAGTTAATATCAGAACAATTTATTTATTTTTAATTTCGGTTATGTTTCTCTAGTTAATTCAAAAAAAAGGTCAAGACTCTCAAAAACATTTCTAAAAACCTTTAATTAGCATTTAAAATGGTAGGTCAAATCCAGTGAAACTTTGATGGTATGTTCCCTCTCATGTAACAATGGGAAATCTGCCATTAAAATTTTGGAAATGGTCACCGTTACCATGGAAACAGCAAAAAATGTCAAAAATTTCAAAATGCTCAAAACTCATTGAAACTTAATATGAATGTTAACTGGCAAGTGCAGACGAGATTTTTGACTTTGGATTTTTCAAAATGGCCACTGTTACCATGGAAACAGCAAAAATGTGTAAAATTTCAAAATGCTCCAAATGTCCTGAAATTTTACAGAAAGATGTATAGCCACACATATATGTGCATTCACTGTTAAAAATTTTGGAAATGGCTGCCTCTTAGTGGCAATGGGGGAAGGGTGGCATCCGCTATTGCTTGGAATATCAATTCTAGCTAGATATTTGCTGTTTGTATGACGTTCAAGAGCGATACGAACACATTAATTTCTTTCATTATAGACATTTTTTTCTACTGATGTTCTACATGTTGTGGAATTTACGAAAATATTTACACCATAATTAGAATAACTTAGTTATTTTTGTGATCATGCACTAATTACAAAAAGGTGTTTGAATGATTGACATGATTGAAATGAAACCCTAAGAATTGATTATATTATAAAACTCGTAAGCTGAAACTCGGAAATCTGAATGTACGTACCTCACAGAACTCATTAGTTTTCTATTTTAACCGCGATTATTACAGTTTTCTTCTATGAATGCTATGGCTTCTATCGTAATAGAGAGGCGAAAGATACCAAAGGGACATTCAAACTCATAGGTCAAAAATAAACTGACAACGCCATGGCAAAAAAGAGAAAAAGACCAAAATACAAACCACATTACACAAAACAGGTGTCCACAAGGGTAAGCAGATCCTGCCCCACATGTGGCATCCGTCGTGTTGCTAATGTAAGTACAAAACCGGTGATAATTCTAATTCGGAAGGTCATATTCGGGGATAAGAGGACGGAATTGAGATAACGACAATTGGAACATATCCATCCATATTCCATAACGGGCAACCAACTCGTAATGGCGTCCGTAAAATTAACGAAGGGGTGATCCCAACTTCACAACTAGAAACTCTTGATTTAATAACTTCCTTATGAGCAGCAAAACTCTATCAAGCAAATTATGATAGGAAATTCAAGCCCTGAAATATCGTAAACTTTACAAAAGTGTTGTTATTTTCTTCATTCAATTCCTTAGAATTGCCCTTTTTAATTTTATGTAATATTTGCAATCTGTTGTTGTGAGGATAAACCTATTTAGTTTCAAAGAGAAATGCAAACCAAAATCAAAGAAATAAGGTGTAAAATCCAAAGGAATTTTAAAAGGATAATAGCATTAATGAATATATATCATCGTCTTTTAATAAAATAAATGAGATATATGCACTTTTTTACTTTATTTTTGTAACAGTTATTATGACTGAGACAAAGCTTACATGTATGATACTCTTTTTTAGGAGAATTTTTAAGAAAAATGGTGATTGCAGACAGGACCTAACAACCCTATATTGCAATTACTTTACTGTCTTATATTGGATTTTTGTGACTAAGTATTGTACCCCAATTTTTGACGTTTTTACTTATTATGTCTGTTTGATTTGCTCACACATAGTTGTCAATATAATGGAATTCAATGCGACTGTCATACAAGTGAGAGGTTTAGCTAGCTTTAAAATCAGGTTTAATCCACCATTTTCTACATAAGGAAATGCCTGTACCAAGTCAGGAATATGACAGTGTTTTCAAATCGTTAGATGTGTTTGAGCTTTTGATTTTGCCATTTTACAAAGGAATTTCGGTATTGAATTTCCCTTGGAGTTCGGTATTTTTGTTATTTTACTTTTTTCCAACCTCAAATACAATATTGGTTTACGTTTCAGAATCCTTGGATTATAAAAATTAGGATTCATTTTGAAAATTACACTTTTAAGTTACAGATTTAAAACTGTGAATATAAAGACTCAAAGTTTCTTTAATTTGTTTAAGACTATTTAAATTTACTATGATTTTAGTATTATTTAACGATACTTTCCTCTTATCCAATTTTCTTCTATGTCAGTTCACAAAAACTCATCATAGATACCAGGATTGAAATTGTGTACGCCAGACTCGCGTTTTGTCTACAAAGACTCATCATAGATACCAGGATTGAAATTGTGTACTCCAAACTCGCGTTTTGTCTACAAAGACTCACCAACGACTCTCGAATCAAAGTACGAAGTTGTAGAGCATTGAATGACAGAATGGCTGTCTTTGATTGTCGAAATAATTGGTTATAGTGCGACTTTAATGAAATAGGCGACGAGTACCACTATATTTTAATTTGTAACTTTATAAGTTCTTAAAGAATCAAATTGTTACCAAAATATTGTCAGAAAAATACTCAGTGATTTTCAACAACTGATAACTTTGTATTAGAAAGCCTTTCAAGATTTATTTAACTTGTATTATCAAACTTCTTCCAGCTTGTTTTGTTTAAGTTGTGTCTATTATGCAACTTAAATACTTTCCTTGCTGCAAACAAGAATTGTATTTAAACATGATCCTTCGGTTGAAATGTAAAGACTAATTCGTTGTCAAAATTTATACTGTTTACTAAAGTGGACTTTTGTGTGATACGGCAAAACTATGTTCTATTGTTTCGGCCAATGTATAGAAAGTTCAGTCTTAGCAAATAAATAATGATAAACAATAAGGTAAAAACAAAACATGCATTAACTTACATGAACACCCAGGTGAATATCCTGTTTCGGAATACTCTCCATCGGGGCATTCCACCTCTGTCCCTAAATGTAAATTAGTAGATATGTTATAAGCGTCAATGAAACATCGACCAATCACGAAAATGAACATATTCGACAGGAACTTGCAAACACAGTAAATATTTGGGTAGAGACATGTTCATGCATGCGGCACTTTTTTGTTGTTTTTTTTATTTTTTCAAATATTAATATTTTGACAAACAAAATACTAGTAATTCATTTAGAATATAACTGCATTACATTTTAAAACATAAATTTTACTGTCGCAAATTGGGTTTAACTAGTAACGCTCTGTGTATGCTTCGGAATAAAATATACTTTGATGACAAAAACTTGATTTGCGGATAAAAATGTGACTGCTTTGTTCAGCTTTAAAGAAGATGCATAACAATGCAATCCCGGATTAAATATAAATTAAAAACAAGGGCAGAAGATATAAAAATAGCGGCTTCTTTTAGTTACACACATATCTACCATATATATTTCCTTATTAAAATATATGATGTCGTCAAATTGAATTAGTTTTTTTCTCTTCAGCCCGCCATAAATCAGTCAGCATAAGAGTTTTTTTTTATAATTTTCATAATATCTATACTAAATAGTATGGTCACACAATTTTCCATAGTAGGTATTCTTCATTAAATGGTCATATGTGGATTTGAATGTTGGAGAAGTATACATACTTCCTCCAGTACTTCAAGTTACTTACTCCGATGCATACAAATAAGCACACGTGTGTACTTCCTCCAGTACTTCAAGTTACTTACTCCGATGCATACAAATAAGCACATGTGTGTGGTGAAGTAGTATGTACGGACCTCACATTTTGGGGATATTCTTTTTTAAGAGATAAAATGTTCGTAAGTAAAAAGTAAAAAGTTTGAATGTGATATTACTCTTGTTGACAGTTGATTCTTGAAAACTCGTCTACATTTAGAACAATAGACTCACTTAAATGAAATGGTTTAAAAGAAGACAATTATAATAAAATGTATAGATTATCTACTCTAATGTAAAAAAAACATGTTCAACTTTGTTTTATCACCAGATGAAAAGTTTGATTTTTTTTGTATCTTACCAAAACAATATGCCGATTTTGTAAGCTGGCTGCTTAGTAAATTGTAAACAAGAAAATCACCAGGACACCTTCTGATGTCGATATTCCAGGTGGACTGACACACATTCGTTAAAGTTTGAATGCATACAGATTGTGACACTTCAGAGTTTACATCTGTTGGTAGGGTACCTAAAAGAAATGAATCCTCTAAAACTGTCAAGTTATGTAATAGTAAATTTTCTTTATCAAGAGGTATTTGTTTTCTTTCTGATATAAGAAATTCTTGATTGCTACCGTCTTTTTGAATTTGCCTGTATGTTCCTTAATCACCCTTGTCTAATTCTGTTTATAAATTCTGATCAATTCCAAAATAGTAAAAATTATTCGATATAACTTACTAATATTATAGTTTGTTTGAGGTTGAAAAAATTATATATACCCTTAATCATGCATTGTTTATAGAAGCATATGTTCTCTTTCTAAAGTATTATATAATGTACATACCATTTAACCATATTGGGTACCACGAGCCACATCTGAATGTCCCAGGCGCTGCAGTAGGAATTTCTTCTCCAGCAACACTTACAATTCTGTACCATCCAGGATCAAGTCTGTCATCACTTATTGCTATGTCATTATCCAAGTCAAGAGTATACCCTGCAGACCTTTTAACATTGTCTAAAGTTGAATAACTTGCACATGGATCTGTAATTAGATTTTTAAGGACATACATGTACATTTTTTAAACCTAACAAAGGAGGATCAATGTAGATGAAGTTGTACAGGACAGAAGGGCATACGATACAGTTTTTATCTCACGGTGAATTTTTGACGAAAATTTGCATACATGCTATTTTTTACCTAGTCAATTCGAATATGTGATGAAAAATATACCTGCATGTGCTACTTTGAGGGATAAATGGGGTAGAAATTTTGGACATTAACTCAAAATTTCGATTTCTTGGACATTTTCTAATTTTTGAACAGACATACCTAACTTTTTTGTTTCAAAAGATAATCACAAGCGGGTTTTTGTAAAATATTTGAAATATCATCTTGTTACATAAATATACTCTAATATAGATTAGACCGTTGGTTTTCCCGTTTGAATGGTTTTACACTAGTAATTTTGGGGGCCCTTTATAGCTTACTTTTCGGTGTGAGCCAAGGCTCCGTGTTGAAGACCGTACTGTGACCTATAATGGTTTACTTTTATAAATTTTGACTTGGATGGAGAGTTGTCTCATTGGCACTCATACCACATCTTCTTATATCTATCTAAGTTTGTGTAAAATTTCTCAGGAAATAATTCATTTTTATGATTTTGGAAAAAAACTGGAATATTTTGCAGTATATTTATTCATTTTGAAAAAAAATTCATCGCTGATTTCTTTATAAAAATTGGTACAAATAATCGTCATACAAAATCAAGCCAAATGTCATTTTAAAAAAGAGGGGTCCATGTACTCGTTTTCAAGCTAATGATTAAAATCATTTCGTCAACGTAGCGTAGCAAGGAAGACGTTACCACTGTTTCGGAGACCCAAACTCCGAAATAGTGGTAACTTCTTCCTTCCTTCTAATTTCGGGTTAAATTTTGACCGAAAAAATTTGAAAGTCAAATTTTTTCGGTCAAAATGTAGCCCGAAATTGGTCAAATAGTTTCAGGAATTTTTTTCAATAAATGTAAAACAGACTATGAAAATATCCAAAATGTTATGTTATGTGACGACAAGAAGCTTTTCGGATATTCCAAAATGAGACAACAGCTGTTTACCGATGTTCTTAACTAGTTAACCCATTAAAAGACTCAAGATTAATATCGCATTATGATAGTTTAAATTATATTCTACATACCGGTCTGGGCAAACGTAATATCAATTTGTATAAAAACTAAGAAAAAATATACTGTGCACATGTACATTTTCCGTTAGCAATACAAACATTCAGTCTTTATAATAAGTTAAAAGTCTACGCAATGCTAGTTGAACACCAAATTCTGGATTTTCCAAAGTTTAAGACCAATAAGAATTAACTTCCTGGTAAAGTTTTTAAAACTGATTCATTCATTAATATAGCATTAAAACGTTTCTTTTTTTTTTTGTAACATAATTGATATTCAAATGTTGTTTCATATAGATATAATTGAATGAGAACCATAATGGTAAAAACAGTATAAAAAATACGAAATAAAACTCCATAATGGACAGCTCTGTTATTTACACTAAACCAATAGACATAATTTGTTATTTAAAGCGATTCAGATGGTGCGCATACAAGAGACAAGAGACTATGGCAAGCAGTGTTACTATTTATTCTAACTTCAAGATATCTAATTAACTTTATAAGATAACTCATATAGTTGTTAAGATATCGTATATAGTTTATAAGATATCTTAAATAGTTTATAAGATATCTTATATAGCTTATAATATATCTTATATAGTTTATAAGATATCTTATATAGTTGTATGTTAAGATATATTATAAAGTATATAAGATATATTACAAAGTATATAAGATATCTTACAAAGTATATAATATATCTTCTAAAGTTTATAAGATATCTTCTAAAAGTATATAAGATATCTTATAAAGTTTATTAGTATATATTGTCATAAAAGAAAAGATAAACAACAACACCATATGTTGTATAAATTAAAAATATGTATTCTCTATCCAAGCAACTTTTGTCTTGCAATCTTATTCTGCAATGTATCAAACTATTTTAGCTGTGTCTATTTAATATGTTGTATATCTTCTGCCTATATATTATATTATGCATACAATGTGTATAACTTACTATTATGTTCATGTGCAAATTAAAAGAAGTTCATTATAAAAAAAAATCTCTTATAAAGACTAATTTATATAAGATGTATTATATATTATATGAGATATCTAATATATTATATGAGATATCTTATATATTATATGAGATATCTAATTTTAATATATGAGATATCTTATATATTATATGAGATATCTTATATATTATATGAGATATCTAATATTTTATATGAGATATCTTGAATTTTGAATAAATAGTAAATCGGCTTGCAATAAGAGACACTTATGTCACAGTTTCAAGTGACTAGAAATAATTGTGTTATTTATATGGTGGTAAACACATGTATTTGTACTTCTGAAAAAAAGGAAAAGATGAACACAATAAATAATTTGACTCCGAGGTGAGCATTCGTTAATTTATAAAATAAATTAAACCTTAATTCCATTTGCTTAAGAAAAAGTTCACTGATGTGTTTTACTTTCATTGTCAACTCCTAAACTCTTTATTTTTAATACCATGATAATTGACCAAATCAATTTGACCATTGTCATTAAAATTGAAATAAAAATGCAACCAGTTTTCTATCAGTTGAGAAATACTTTCACGTTTCCGTCGGTTGATAACTATATATGGAAATTCCAATGCCAAATTACATCATGAGTATAAGAATAGTTTAGTTTCATTAATTTTTCTTTGCATGTGCATGTATTTTCCGTTACATAATGATTATTGATAATAGGATCTTCATGACAAAACATGAATTTACATTTAAGTTATGAAAAATATAATTTAAGAATTCTCTTGAATAATATTTCGGAGAACTAGCACACGAAGGACGACCAACAAGGAAGTCATAGATAGTTCATTGCGTACTTGTATTTTTAAATGTCCATGGCCACATATATATCTATATTGAAAAGTCATATGAACTAGTTTAAAGAGGGGGCATTGTACGAAGTACATGAAACAACACAACAAAAATGCAGAAAATTAATCAGTTGTAAAAATACATTTTTTTATTTCATTCATCGTTTCGTGGTATCTATAATTTGATTCCAGATGATACATTTGTTTTTTATAATTTGTTTTTTTAAATAGTTAAGAACGTACTATGATCTAATGAGAAGAAGTCAAAATTTAATAGCTTACAAAGTACTTTCAGTAAATAGTTAAGCCAGTTACTTAAAAGTTGAGGAATACCATAGTGACCAGAAAAAATTCAAATAATCAGAAATTCCAGAGAAAGGGCAATATAAACAATATTCGGCTAAATTTTCCATATAACTTTTTCTCCGGATTTACCCTTCAAGTTTTAATATATTTTACATTTTTCAAATTTGTTAAAACACATAGCGCACAATTAAACAAATACAAACAATATAAAAAAAAACTATTTCCTACTTAGACAAAAATTGTCTGCTGTCAGATCAGGGAAAAAAGGGTCAACAAAAAACTTCACGTACAAAATAAAAATCATGACATTGAACTCTACAAACTATACATAATATAACAATATGCATAGAAAACTGGTGCTTATTCATATAACCTAAAATATAACCGCCTAGAGTGGAATGGTATACAAATCTATGTGTGTCCTAATTAACTTTTACATTTACATTTCATTTATGCAGAATTTTACATATCGCATTGATTAACATCAGTTAAATTTTGAAAAGTCCCAAGAGTCATCAATATTAATAGGTTTGTGATGCAATAAGCATTTAAATCGACTACATTACATAGATCATTTCATTATGATTAAAAAAAAACCAGATAATCCATTTACAACTTACTAAGTACGAACGTGTCTGATATGGTATGATGAACGTTGAAAAGGTGTCCTATAAATTTAGAGTTTCAAAAAAATAAATTTTGACTCATTCAATCATATGGTAATCATTATTACATGAATAATGAAAGAAAGTGAATTTTACTATCAAGTAAAATTATAGTAAAATCATTTTTACATGGTCATAATCGACTTGTCCTTACGAAGCACCATATGTCAATTTTGCATGGAAAATAGTTGAAGAAATATCTAAATGAACTGTTAAAAAGAAGTCATTGAACCCTCTTTCTTTTTTTTATCTAAATTTATATTGGTAATAAAATTTGTTTTCATCATATCAAAATTTCTTAAATTTATCAAAATTTTTAGGTATTTAATGTGGTCTTGCTCCTTTTCATACGATTTAAGAACAGTAAGTTCGTAAGAAAAGGAACAAGAACTATTTCACATCGAGTAGAAATTGTAATATATTTTGTTTCTGAAATAATAATTTTAAAAACAGTAAGAAGAAAGTAAAAAGGTCCATGCCCCAAAATTCGTGGTTTCACTTACGGACTAAACGGTCGACAGAATAAGGGCGCTTTAAAAGGCAAGATATTACAGATACAGTAAGATTAAGGATTATTAAAAATGAGAATGGGAACGGGGAATGTGTCAAAGAGACAACAACCCGACCAAAGAGCAGAAGACAGTCCAAGGCCACCAATGGGTCTTCAACACAGCGAGAAAATCACGCACCCGGAGGCTCCTAAACAAAATGTGTACTAGTTCATAGAAAATGGACGTCAAACTAAACTCCGAAACATATAAATGAACCGAAATTTAAAAAAAACAAACATACAAGACTAACAATGGCCAGAGGTTCCTGACTTGGGACAGGTACAAACATGCGGCGGGGTCAAACATGTTTTGTGAGATCTCAACCCTCCCCCTATACCACAAGACAATGTAGAATAAACAAACACACATTCGGAGAATGAGCTATGTGTTTTTTTGGAAGGAATTTAGAATTTATTCGAAAAATACCTAAATGTATATGATCTCAATACTCATATGGTCCGAACCGTTATAAACCAAACGAGTATAATACTCATATGGTTCACGAAACAGATTGAGACTGGTAGCGTCGACAAATCAATTTCATACTGTTTTGGTGCCATTGAACATGTAGCTGTACATTAGGTTAAAAATTGTTTTTATACAAAACACTATAAAATTAATTCTGATTTATAAATTTTGGACATTTGTTCTCATTTGAGATACTTGTGTTTTTTTACCTGAATATCAAATAAAAAGTAAAAGGTGAAATTTATTTAGGAATCGATATTAGCTAAATACAAGTACAGTTTAAAAATATGTACCTTCGAAAATATGAATTAAACAAATACGGTAAAGGTAAAATCCACTCTCAAGTTAATATCCTTCCAAGGATAACACATGAAAGCGTTTCCGCTTATATTCAACGTGGTCATTAAAGTGTATATCGCTTTTATTAAAAAAAATAGAAATTAAAAGAAGGCATGCATTACTTTAATTTAAGTCAAAAATAAACATACAAATTTACTTATTTTTCAGGTATTGCTTTACTTCAATTTTGAATGCGTCCTGGTCATGTATTGATTTTTTATATCATTTAGAATAAGGAGATGCGGTATGATGGAAATGAGACAACTATCCACAAAAACAAACACATGACAAGGATGCGAAGGTCACATTTTTTTTTATCATTTCAACAATTTTATATCTTGTGGGCTCTATTCAATGTGCATTGTATTCATTAACGTTGATTTGAATATTCGGTACTGACATCTTCTGTTTCTTTATAATGTATACTCAGACAGTCAACTCTTTACTTAAGTATAATATTGTTTTATAAAAAAAAATGATACAAACTAAAAACGATGTTTCTCCTCGTTTATAATTTCAAATACTGAATAAATTTTGTATATACATGTAATTAAGGAGATACAATATATGACATGATTTTCAATGCCACTACTAACCATTAAAACTGAAGGACAAGGATAGTTACAGATCACCGTAGCCTTTACCAATAAGCCAAAAACGCACACCATATAGTAAGATTTAGTGCGTGAACCCCTGAGGGTTAGGCGTCAATGGTTAGGCGTTTTTAAGATTTTAAAACTGAACCATTCTAGCGAAATTAAAAAAAGAGCCAAGTCCGTTTATGCAGTAATTAAGGAGTTTTTAAAAATTGTTCCTATTTTAATTAAAATAGCAAAAATGGAATTATTATAATCATATTATTTAATTGGTAAAATACTGGAACAAAATATCTTTTATCGTTATTTAAATACAAATTGAAATAAAAAGAAAATAAATTAAAGAAAAACAAGCTGAACCTTAAAGAATCGTTGAGATGTGTAAGATGCAGATAAGAGATGCTACAACGAAACATTTCATTTTTTAATAAATATTTAACTTATTAAAATATTTTTAGCGGTATGATGATGATTCTGAAAGAATAACTTATTTTAGGACTTGATGTCTGAGATGACGGATAATAGAAAAGTTGATTATGCATAAATTATGCAATAGCAGGAGTGAAATACTAATACAGGGTCAGAGATAAAATAACTATGATCTTTTATAGAGACTGAGTGATACAGTCAGAGATAAGATAATGAATTTCTATTTATATTTATTTAGGCTCTACATTTGTATAAAACTATAAATAGGGGAAAAAAGCAATAATTAGAATAAAAGACGACGCAATGAAATCAGGCAGTTAGTTTTCTTGTATGAATTGTTTTACATTTGTCATTTTGGGGCTTATAATAGCTTACTATGCGGTATGGGTTTTGTTCATTGTTAAAGGCCGTACGGTGACAATAGTTGTTAACTTCTACGTCACTCGGTCTCTGGTGGAGATTTATCTCATTGGCAATAATACCACATCTTCCTTTTTTTTTGGTATATAGAAACCGTACTTAATATTATTTTAAAATACTAGTCAACCCTGGAAATTATGACAAATTTAAAGGCACCTTTTAGGTGTGTTAAATACAGAAATTATATGTCATATCGAAACAGTTCATCAATGAATATGCCTTCGAGTCCTTAAAATAATTCTATAGATATGAAACGATTTACAGACACTGAGTGATATTCTTTGGAGTTGACGTGATGGCTCTCTATTTATTTAAAACTTATGGTCTATGAAGTAAAAAAAAATGAGGTCTGATCTATTCCTCGATGTTTGGATTGAAAACTATTATACTTAAGTTAATAACGGTATATGATTGCGAGAATATTAGCAATTGTCCAAAGAATTATAATAACAGGAAGATGAATATTATCTATTCCAGATTATTTTATAAAATTATAGAGATGCGTATGTTAATTTTTTATAGGAAACTTTTTAGTATGTGACTGCACCCCCCCCCCCCCCCCCCCCCCCAAAAAAAAAAATCAGATTTAAAGTTGAAGTAGCTCGTGCACAACTTCATGTCCACCCTAAAGAATAATCAGTGCAAGTTACTGGGAATTCCGTCAATTTGTTTTCAAGGCGTTGAGGCAATCTGCATTCATAAACGAATTTAGAGGGTCTAGTTGACAAAGGCTTAGAGCTTTTTTGGCGACAAAATAGGACGATATCATAACAAATTAGACGATACAAAAACGTTTGTACTCATAAGAAAAACGAGCACAACTAAGAAACAATTTATTTTTTCAAATCAATATCCGTATTCAACGGACATGCGATTGCAAAAATGTGATTTTTAAATTACGTACTCACGGGACATGAGCTATACAGAATTGGCACTGTTATTCCTGCTTCTCTCTGTCTGTCACCCACTCGTATAAAAACAACAAATCAACAACTTCGTTATATTTAGGCTAATTTACAAAAGGACAAGTTATGAGATGAAAAAGTGAGATTTCTTTAAACAAACTGATTTACGTATAAAGTTGAGGTTTCCAACAGTTTCTACTCTAAATACCTGATTTGAGTTTGTTGCCTTGGGTATAAATAAATTGAGATCAAGCATATCTTGAATATGATAGCCAATGACCAAACCATACAAACCAGTGTAATAGGTTTTCCAAAATGGTTTTAGTTCGGGATTAACAAATAAGAATATCGCTTAGGGTTTTGAACTATTTTCAAACTGGCTACAAAAACTAATAATCATGATTCATTTCATTAAACTTTTTACAACAAAGACTGTTTTCACAGTTACATTTCGACCTCAGCCAGAAAGCTACCCCTTATTCCCAAAATAGCACCTCTGAAAGGAATTAACATACAGTGGTTGCTTCTTATTTATCATGTTGTAAATGTTATCTATCGGAAGCGACTGAGGGATGGGAGAGAGAGAAATTATTTCTTTAACAAGAAAATAATGCCCAACATAGAACATCAGTTTCATTAAAAATCCATGTCAGTTTATCTACATCTTATATAAAAAAAATGAGGTAAAAGCATGCATCTTAAACAAATATCTGATCTTTCATTCCAAACATGCATTTAGGTTCACGATTGCATTTCTTTTTGTAAAAGAAAGCAACTTGTCTATACTATCAAACGATAAACATCTTATGGTATGAATATTCCGTAATTTACCGCCTTCTGCTCTTGGTGTTCAGACGACATTTAATAGTTTGTCATACATCTGTTGTTTTTTTTTTACATTTCTACATTTTGTCTTTTCATATTTGCATTAGGACTTAATATTTCTGGCATTTAGTGTAAAACTGCAAAAACTGCCGGAACTAGCCACATTTGGATGTATTGTCATTAAAATTTCGACATGCGTATAAAAAAGCCATTTCAGATTTAAAAAAATCTTGTATCTATATTTGGATAGATCGTTTAATATTTTTTTATAATTAGTATTGAATTCTTTTAGTTATGTATCTAAAGTATCCGAATACCACACAGTTCATATCGAAATGGAGTAAACAGATATAAACGTTCGACCTTCTTTCACTAAAAACCATTGTCCCAAGTTTTGTAAAAATCAGATTCAAGAGTATAACATCTAATATAATTGCCTATAATGTGTTTGACAAATGCCAAAATAAAAATATAGTACATGTATGGAATGCACGATAGGCTTATCATCCAAATATTGGGTTCATAACGTTATCATTATCACCTTAATCCGTAAAGTTACGACTAGAGCTGATGAGAACCATGAAATAAAACATACGAAAAGAGAACAAGGAAATCCAAATGGCGAAATGCTCTCACAACAAAACCAGCTACCTGTCTTGGAAGAACTGGGATCCCTTTGACCGACATCCAAAATTTGAACCAATCAGTTCTGTAACCAGATTTTAAAAGGATGCAGTCGTGCTACAAAACAATTCCATTTTTCAAGTCGTAAATGACACAATAATGGTGTCTATACATATATATTATACAGAACAGGTATGCACGTGAAAACTTCTACACCAGTCAAACTTCCAAAATTGTTAAAACAGGAAATATTGTCGTAAAATGAATACTTTATTAAGAACATGCTGTTTACAAATTCTTTTCAATGCTTGATAATAATGTATAGCCGTACTACACAGTTTGGAATTTACAAGATTTCTCATTTATTGATTGTCCATTTCTTCTGATGGGTGTATGCTGTCATTGTTTAAGTTCTTCTTATATCTGTTAAAAGAAATGAAAATTAAAGATCTTAAATCGCTTCCATAAAAGAGAATAAATGTGAAAAAATAATAAGCATGAGACTGCTTGTCGACGTATTCATATCCCTTGAAGGCATTTACTAATACAGCAGTATATATATATATATATATAATGTGCCATTAATTAAATTGTGGTGAAGGTCCTTTTTCAAGTAAAAGTATAATGAAGTAAAAGAATGCCGAGATGTCTGAGCACGTTATCATGAAAGTATTTTCCTTCTCTTTTATTCTGGTGCTATGTGCTCTTCTAGTCTAAACGAACTTTTTTTTATTTTTTAAGATTGTAAACCACGTATAAAAAGCGTTTCCATACCTAAAATTAAAAATCCTAACCTTTATTTTGTTAAACATGAGTTATGATCAAACAAATCAATTATAAAAGGGTGTTTAAAGGTCGTAAAAAGTGTATTTGGTATACATGTACATGTATGTAAGTAAATTTGTAAAGCATTAGACTCTTAGACTACATTAGAGTAAGACCGGAAATACAGAAATTGACCATCGGTTTAGGAAATAATCCCGTTAAAACCTATTCGGCATTGATAAAATTTTAGAAAGGGGGAATCATATATTACCTTATTAGATTAAAATACATAAGAAAATTATCTACAAGACAGCAACTTATTAACAAATATATAACCCCTAAATAGGTCTCAGAAAAATAAAAATGTATTAAAGCGTTACTTAAAGACTTTTTGCAGGTAAGTTATTCAGTGGAAACAGATAAATAAGAGAACGTCTGAAATCGTTCAGGGAAAATTCACAGAATAAAACGATCTTTAAAAACAAAATAAATGCCCATAACGCGTCATGAAAATATTATATGAATGTATATACAGAATGTTCATTTTGGCACAGCTGGGAATGAAATGATTAGAATATCGTTGGTTTTTCCTGATAACATAATAACCAAATACCCTGTCACAACGAGATTTGCGAAGATTTAGAGAGAGTCATATATTACGTCCCAGGGTACAGGTATGATTGTACATTTTTGTTTTTAAAATATTTTTTTATGATAAAAACATGAGTTGCAAGTCGTAGTTTCGATAATAAGAATTATGTTTTAGCAATAACATTAACCGCAGTTTATTTGGTTTAAAAATTTGTAAAATAATCACCTTTTAACTAAAAACCAAATAAGTCCAATTCCAACGCATACTGCAATAACAGCAACACTTATCAATGGAATCTTCCATGCTTTACCTAAAATGATCAAGTAATAATGTTTATCTTTAAGTACTGTAACAGTTATTTTCTGGTACATGCTATGATGATGGATTGATGCCATTAAATATTAAAATATATTAAATAATTAACATTTTAATACTTCTTTGATGTAGAAAATACTGACAAATGTGGGATCATGTCGAGAAATTGACTTATAATACTCCGTCTTTTTTTTTACTTACGAGTTTTATTCCATTTGCCATCACCTTTTTTTCATATGAAGGAGTAGGCCTTAATTTGATTATGTCATATCCCTACTAAAGATTAATAATTACATTCCAAAATATACATATTAATTACTTTTTTCTCTAATTACTGCCTGTCTTATTTCAAGTTTCATCGAATACATGATTAGAAGTTCAGTACTTTTTTCAAATTTCTTTCTTTCATGAAAACATTGCCCACATAACGAAAGTGTTTTTTTCCTGTAGAAATATTGGGCCATGTATGTGGCTAAGTCATATTATGGCAAAACTAACCGAATTAGGCCTTTAATAGTAAAAAATCTAGATTTTTAATGTTCACAATCATGTTCTATCAGTGATTTCCTTAACGATAAATTGAATACCTTCGACAAAGCGCACTGTTTATCAGGAATAACTGTTTTTGTCGTTGAATTTATGTGACAAAACAACTTTTGAAATATGGCTAAAAATTATGCATTCTTGGTATAAACTTTATCATGTAGGGCTAAAGTTGATGTTTTCTAAATGAATTATGCAATTATAATTACATGTATATATTGTATGAAAATCTTGGTATTTTTCATAATGATCATTTTATTGAGTTATTATCCCTATGATTACATCCTTTAATCATTCGAGTTATTAAACGAAAGCATCGGATAAGTGTAAACATTGCAAATACATATAGTGTATACTTCTAAAAGAATAAACTCATATGTTGGGTACGCGATCGCGTTAACATGGAAACGCGTGAAAAGTCCTCAACCAAAGGTCCGTCTATTCATAAATAGATTGGGTGTTCTAAGGCCCAAAATATCTGTTTTTAAGACCAAGTGGAGGTCTGGTAACCCCTTCTTACTATTATAAATACAATACTGAGGTATGTTGACATTTGGATTACTACTACATGTATGCGTACTTTCAGTACGTCAGCACCAAAATTGACTGAAGAATTGAATGCCGATTACATTTTTGAGTTCCTTATCATTATCTCGGAACCAGAGGCGGAAGATGGAGAAGGTGATGTTACGGATCCGTTTCCTTATAGGGTGTAACCTTCTTGTTTTATAGTATGTCAATCTCATCTTTACACAGCTCTCCTTTTAGAGAAAAAAATATTGTGAAACTTTCCAGTGCCCCTTTCATGCTAGATTGATATAAAATTATAATAAATAAAACGTTCATTTTATTATTATTATTTACTGTCTTTTTTTTAAGTTAGTACGAAAAAGTCGAAAACAAACTGACAATGTTATGGCAAAAAAAGACAAAAAAAAAAACATTGAAAACTAAATCCGAGCAACACGAACCGCACCAAAAACCGGCGGTGATTTCAGGTGCTCCGGAAGGGAAATAAATGATTCATATCACATCTCCTGCTGCAAATATCCACACACACCGTATTTTGGGGGAATCCCTTCAAACGGTTATCAATGGAACATTTGGTGATTTGCTGTGATGTTCCTGACTTGGTACAGATAATATAAATGAAACCTATGCCAATTTCAACAAGAGGTTCGTCTTTATATTTATACGACAGACTTCTCTGCGTAATCTTGAAGTTCCTGTCCCAATTCAGACCAACTTTGTGCATAAATAAGGCCGTTGTTTTTCTCGTTTGAATTGTTTTACATATTTTCATGTTGGGACCTTAAACAGCTTGTTATGCGGTATGAATTTTACTCATTATTGAATGCCGTACGTTGACCTTTAGTCTCTAACATCTACGTAATTTGGTCTTTGGAGGATAGATAACCTTCTTATTTCTATATACAGACGTGTTTGTGTTTTATATGCCATGTAAAGCAAATCTGCAACTGCTTCACCTCTTGTATATATGTTATTTACGACAATGACTATTTTAGTTTCATATGCAACAACAAAATGAATTCCTTACCATTTTTTGATCCAGAAGTAAATATATCTGCAAAATAAAAAAAAATGTATTTGATCTCAGGCGAAAAGCAATGTATACAACTAAAACAAAAAAAACTTTTACAAAAAATATATAATGCAAATAATAAAAAATAAGGTTTGAAACAGCAATTATAATTTTAAAAAGTTAAAACTCACCAACTTTCATTGTTTGACAACAGTCTCCAGTATAATTTCCAATACACTGGCAACTATTTTGAGAGATGTTAAAATTGCCATGAATACAAGATTGACCACATGTTCTCTTCCCCTACAACGAAGATATAGTTTTATTGCATTTCAGGGCACATTGGTCGTACGATTTATAACTAGGCGAACAGCATAATTTTCGGAATCTTTTAGCGCTACCCCCTCCGCATGAATTTGTACAACTACTCCACTGTAACCACGCTCCTACGTCACATTCTTTGACTCCATTTGTTTGATCACAATAACAAACAGCAATGCAATGTTAGCTGAGAAAGATAAACGGAGAAAGAAGAACAAAATGAAATGTATGCTTCATGATGAAAAAAAGTTCGTTAAATTAATTTAGTTATAAGTCATACATGTATTATCTGATAAGATGAATATTGAAATTGTAAACAGCATAACAATAGGCTACTTAAGTGAAGATAATAAATTTAATATGAAACTTTGTTATGAAATAAAGTTTGTTTAATGATAAGATTTTTCAATTGAAATGTCAAAAATATTCCATATACTCTCGTTTAAGAAATATCTAATATATCTGAGGAAAGATGATTTATTATTTTAATATTATTTGAAATTCTCATGTTCATATTTGAATGTGCCAAACTTTGAATTACTTTTCGAATATTTGTTACACTAAAAATACTCTAAACACTAATTTATGAAATGTTCCATATAAACTCCTTATTTTTTTCATAATAATATTTATCCAAAAAAGTTATATCGTTCACTTTGTGCTAAACATCATGCACGGCCCTCAAAGATAAATTTAATTTAGAAATAAAGCTACCATCCATTTTTAGTTGCATTCGTAGAAAATGTATGTAGGTAAACTAGCATTTTGTATAATTTTGTTCAGTGTCTGTTTTTCCTGTGATTTTATATCCCCCTCCCCTTCAACCCTTTTGGTATATATTCCCCTTTTTGTATAAATCTGGTGCGTTTAGAAATATAGGAATGGAAAATGCCTCTTGGCATAAACGAACTGTTCCCATTCAGTAACTCTGGGTGATCGTAGGTCCATGAGAAAAACAAAACCGCAATACTGAAAACCACATGTGATTTATAAATATTCCAAAGAGATGTTATAACCCTTTTAACAGGATTGTGTTTTCAAAAGAAAATTTTAATCTCCAAAATTTCAGTTTACATTTGAAATGTTTGATTTGTAATGCTTTTCAACTTCGCATTTGATTCGGCTTTCTAACTGCTTTGATTTGGCTTTCTAACTGCTTTGATTCGGCTTTCTGACTGCTTTGATGCGGTTTTCTACCTGCTTCGATTCGGCTTTCTAACTGCTTTGATTCGGCTTTCTGACTGCTTTGATTCGGCTTTCTAGCTGCTTTGATTCGGTTTTCTGCCTGCTTTGATTCGGCTTTCTGACTGCTTTGATTCGGTTTTTTGCCTGCTTTGATTCGGCGTTCTAACTGCTTTGATTCGGCTTTCTGACTGCTTTGATTCGGTTTTCTGCCTGCTTTGATTCGGCTTTCTAACTGCTTTGATTCGGCTTTCTGACTGCTTTGATTCGGCTTTCTAGCTGCTTTGATTCGTTTTTCTGCCTGCTTTGATTCGGCTTTCTGACTGCTTTTATTCGGTTTTCTACCTGCTTTGATTCGGCTTTCTAACTGCTTTGATTCAGTTTCCTGACTGCTTTGATTTGGCTTCCTGACTGCTTTGATTCGGCTTTCTGACTGCTTTGATTCGGTTTTCTGCCTACTTTGATTCGGCTTTCTAACTGCTTTGATTCGGCTTTCTGACTGCTTCGATTCGGCTTTATAGCTGCTTTCATTTGGCTTTCTAACTGCTTTCATTTGGCTTTCTGACTGCTTTCATTTGGCTTTCTGACTGCGTTGATTCGGCTTTTAAACTGATTTGATTCGGCTTTCTTACTGCTTTGATTCGGCTTTTCTAACTGCTTTGATTCGGCTTTCTAACTGCTTTGATTTGGTTTCCTGACTGCTTTGATTCGGCTTTCTGACTGCTTTGATTCGGTTTTCTGCCTGTTTCGATTCGGCTTTCTAACTGCTTTGATTTGGCTTTGTGACTGCTTTGATTCGGCTTTCTAGCTGCTTTGATTCGGCTTTCTAACTGCTTTGATTTAGTTTTCTGACTGCTTCGATTCGGTTTTCTGCCTGCTTTGATTCGGCTTTCTGACTGCTTTAATTCGGCTTTCTAACTGCTTTGATTTTGCTTTCTGACTGCTATGATTCGGCTTTTAAACTGTTTTGATTCGACTTTTTAACTGCTTCGATTCGGCTTACTAACTGCTTTGATTCGGCTTTCTAACTGCTTTGATTTGGCTTTCTGACTGCTTTGATTCGGCATTCTAACTGCTTTGATTCGGCTTTCTGACTGCTTTGATTTGGCTTTCTGACTGCTTTGATTCGGCTTTCTGACTGCTTTGATTCGGTTTTCTGCCTTATTTGATTCGGCTTTCTAACTGCTTTGATTCGGCTTTGTGACTGCTTTGATTCGGCTTTCTAGCTGCTTTGATTCGGCTTTCTAACTGTTTTGATTTGGCTTTCTGACTGCTTTGATTTGGCTTTCTGACTGCGTTGATTCGGCTTTCTAACACTGATTTGATTCGGCTTTGTGATTGCTTTGATTCGGCTTTCTAACTGCTTTGAATCGGCTTTCTGACTGCTTTGATTCGGTTTTCTGCCTGCTTCGATTCGGCTTTCTAACTGCTTTGATTTGGCTTTGTGACTGCTTTGATTCGGCTTTCTAGCTGCTTTAATTCGGCTTTCTAACTGCTTTGATTTAGCTTTCTGACTGCTTCGATTCGGTTTTCTGCCTGCTTTGATTCGGCTTTCTGACTGATTTAATTCGGCTTTCTATCTGCTTTGATTTTGCTTTCTGACTGCTATGATTCGGCTTTTAAACTGTTTTGATTCGACTTTCTAACTGCTTTGATTCGGCTTACTAACTGCTTTGATTCGGCTTTCTAACTGCTTTTATTTGGCTTTCTGACTGCCATGATTCGGCATTCTAACTGCTTTGATTCGGCTTTCTGACTGCTTTGATTTGGCTTTCTGACTGCTTTGATTCGGCTTTCTGACTGCTTTGATTCGGTTTTCTGCCTTATTTGATTCGGCTTTCTAACTGCTTTGATTCGGCTTTGTGACTGCTTTGATTCGGCTTTCTAGCTGCTTTGATTCGGCTTTCTAACTGTTTTGATTTGGCTTTCTGACTGCTTTGATTTGGCTTTCTGACTGCGTTGATTCGGCTTTCTAACTGATTTGATTCGGCTTTGTGATTGCTTTGATTCGGCTTTCTAACTGCTTTGAATCGGCTTTCTGACTGCTTTGATTCGGTTTTCTGCCTGCTTCGATTCGGCTTTCTAACTGCTTTGATTTGGCTTTGTGACTGCTTTGATTCGGCTTTCTAGCTGCTTTAATTCGGCTTTCTAACTGCTTTGATTTAGCTTTCTGACTGCTTCGATTCGGTTTTCTGCCTGCTTTGATTCGGCTTTCTGACTGCTTTAATTCGGCTTTCTATCTGCTTTGATTTTGCTTTCTGACTGCTATGATTCGGCTTTTAAACTGTTTTGATTCGACTTTCTAACTGCTTTGATTCGGCTTACTAACTGCTTTGATTCGGCTTTCTAACTGCTTTTATTTGGCTTTCTGACTGCTTTGATTCGGCATTCTAACTGCTTTGATTCGGCTTTCTGACTGCTTTGATTTGGCTTTCTGACTGCTTTGATTCGGCTTTCTGACTGCTTTGATTCGGTTTTCTGCCTTATTTGATTCGGCTTTCTAACTGCTTTGATTCGGCTTTGTGACTGCTTTGATTCGGCTTTCTAGCTGCTTTGATTCGGCTTTCTAACTGTTTTGAATTGGCTTTCTGACTGCTTTAATTTGGCTTTCTGACTGCGTTGATTCTGCTTTCTAACTGATTTGATTCGGCTTTGTGATTGCTTTGATTCGGCTTTCTAACTGCTTTGAATCGGCTTTCTAACTGCTTTGATTTGGCTTTCTGACTGCTTCGATTCGGCTTTCTAACTGCTTTGAATTGGCTTTCTGACTGCTTTGATTCGGCTTTCTAACTGCTTTGATTCGGCTTTCTGACTGCTTTGATTTGGCTTCCTGACTGCTGATTCGGCTTTCTGACTGCTTTGATTCGGTTTTCTGCCTGCTTTGATTCGGCTTTCTTACTGCTTTGATTCGGCTTTGTGTCTGCTTTGATTCGGCTTTCTAGCTGCTTTAATTCGGCTTTCTAACTGCTTTGATTTAGCTTTCTGACTGCTTTGATTCGGTTTTCTGCCTGCTTTGATTCGGCTTTCTGACTGCTTTAATTCGGCTTTCTAACTGCTTTGATTTTGCTTTCTGACTGCTATGATTCGGCTTTCTAACTGTTTTGATTCGACTTTCTAACTGCTTTGATTTGGCTTCCCAACTGCTTTGATTCGGCTTTCTAACTGCTTCGATTCGACTTTCTAACTGCTTTGATTCGGCTTTGCGACTGTTTTGATTCGGCTTTGTGACTGCTTTGATTCGACTTTCTAACTGCTTTAATTTGGCTTTCTAACTGCTTTGATTCGGCTTTGTGACTGATTTGATTCGGCTTTGTGACTGCTTTGATTCGACTTTCTGACTGCTTTAATTTGGCTTTCTGACTGCTTTGATTTGGCTTTCTGATTGCTTTGATTCGGCTTTCTGACTGCTTTGATTCGGTTTTCTGCCTGCTTTGATTCGGCTTTCTAACTGCTTTGATTTGGCTTTCTAACTGCTTTGATTTGGTTTCTAACTGATTTGATTCGGTTTTGTGACTGCTTTGAATCGACTTTCTAACTGCTTTGATTTGGCTTTCTAACTGCTTTGATTCGGCCTTCTAACTGCTTTGATTCGGCTTTCTAACTGCTTTGATTTTGCTTTGTGACTGGTTTGATTCGGCTTTGTAATTGCTTTGATTCGGCTTTCTAACTGCTTTGATTCGGCTATGTGACTGCTTTGATTTGGTTTTCTAACTGCTTTGATTCGAGTGCCACTGTTGAGTCTTATAAAATCAAATCTTTGAATAAAATAAGTACAACAGGACCAAAACAATAAAAAAATTCTGTTTGAACTTCCTGACTTGTTAAAATATAGTGTTAACGCTCAGTCCCCTTTTTTAAATTCGATTATTGAAATAACAAAAGGTAAATCGAAGGACGTTCAAAAAGCTGTGTTTCATTGTTTCAACTAAAAAAGTTAAACACTAAATACTACTGTCACACACTTAGTGTCAAAGAATGATGACAGTTAATGAAAGCAAGCTCAAAGGTTTTAATATAATAAAGAAATCGTTTTATCTTAT